AAGAACATGGCCGCGCGCCCGTCTATTCCTATTAGAAAACAATACAGGAGGTTAGAGATGATGTCCCAAATGTGGAATCTCTTTTTGTTTGTTTGTTTCTTGCGATAACGCCTGCTGATACAGGTGTGCTGCAGGCTGAAAATAAATAAATAAACTTCAGTGGAGCTTCTATTTATCTTGACATAATTATATATCTCAATAAAAAATTAATTAGGTTTATTTTATGCAGAATAATTTGATCAAAATCCTATAAAAAAGGTATTTTGTATTCTTATATGTATTGTTAAACATGGCAATTGATCAATCACTCAGTTCAATGACTGAAAATAACACGAAATAAAGAATTACTGGAGATAGAATATTTGAAAGTACAGTTTAATTAACAACTTTTTATTGGTGTATACCTGCTATACTATAGAACAGTGAACACACACTTCATTATTTTTTTTTCTAGTTAACGAACGCGCTTTTTTTTTCTTCTTTTTTTGCAATTTGATTTGCTTGTAAATGACAAAGTTGAAGGTATACAGACAAAGCGCAACTTTCCGGTTTGCTCAGAACAGCACCGCTTTTCGTTCGTGTTCAGCATTAAATGATAAACAAATAGTAAATAAGAAGTATTGTTGGGGAATATTTAGGCGGGAAAGATTTCATTTCAATCATGATAATACAACCGGTTCAATTTAAACAATTCAAATCATCTTACTTTTTATCCTCCGCCTCGCCACCAGGTAATACTATAACAATAACTCTACGCAATCATTAGTGATTGAGAATCCATATATCATACCCTCACTTTTAGCTCCCCGATTAGCCTGTTAGAAGAGAAAACCAGCAATATTGACTGGATGCTGACCCAGCTGTGTTAAAAACTCTGTACAGCTTATCACTACCGGCCCAAAGAGGGCACAGAAGGCGCTCCAAGAAACAGGAAAAGCCGAGTTTTGCAGTGAAAGTTTTACTATACAAAACACTTCGACGTTGTGACCAGTATGTAGCGCCCCCTCCAGTCCACCGGTCTGTGTCCGCCAGGCTCGGCGGGCAACATTGGTCACCGCGCCAATCACTGATCTCAATGACAATTGCTGGATCGCGCTTGCCGCTCCCGCAAGTGAAGCCACCGGGCTTCACTCGCTTGGGATACGATTTGCCGTTTTTGCTAGCCTTTGCTGCGGTTTTCCAGCGTGCTGACGACACGTTTTCTACTCGTTCGTCGTCATTCGCCGAAGAAGTTTTTTGAAGACTCTGTGTATTGTTGAGACTTGCCGTTGTGAACACGTGGAAAATTTTACGAAAGTGCAGTGTCGCAGGAAAAAAGGCACAACGCGTCGAAAGGAAGGGGCTGGCGGCGTGTTCAAAGCTTCCTTGGCACGCCGAAGTGCCGTGTCTTTGTGCCTTCGCGCGCTTGGATACCGACCAAGAACCGACGCCGTGTGAATGTGTTTAGCGAGTGCAATGTGCGTGAAGCCGTATCAAAAGGTACAACTCGTCGAAAACGTGTCGCCGGTGTCGCGGCGTGATCAAAGCTTCCTTGGCACGCCGAGTGATGCATCTTTGTGCCTTCGCACGCTTGGATACCGGTCAAGAATTGACGCCGCGCCAAAGTTCTGAACGTGTGTCGCGCGTAGATGCCTTTAGATCATTTATATATATCCGCCACGGAGTTCTGGATCGTCCAGCTGTTCCGGTGAGTTGCTATCAATAAAAGGGGGAGATCTGTACGTGTTCTTATGTACTATATTAACCATGGCTATGTCCCAAATCTACTCTAATAGATTCCGTGGGAGCACGAATAGGGCAACGTTGTGGAGCCAGGGGGGTTTTCGAAAGCAAAAGTACAAGACGGCGAGAATGAAAATCTTTGAAGCGCGGCCGATATGGTCGTGTGCAATCTGTTGACCAATTACAATTAGGCGAGCCGCGCTCAAACGTCAAGTGCCATTAAGTAGGTTGATAATAAGCCAGCACTGATCAGTGATGAGGAGCTGTTGTGCACGGTATTGTGTAAATCGTCTAAGGACGAAAAAGAGACGTACCTTCTCCCCATCTTCCGTCGCTAGTGGACGCTGGATTAAGCTCGTTCCTAAACCGCGAGGGGAAAAGACGCTGATCCAGAGGCACGAACAGCTTCACGCACATTGCACTCGCTGAACACATACACACGGCGTCGGTTCTTGGTCGGTATCCAAGCGTGCGAAGGCACAGAGACACGGCACTTCGGCGTGCCAAGGAAGCTTTGAACACGCCGCCAGCCCTTCCTTTCGACGCGTTGTGCCTTTTTCCTGCGACACTGCACTTTCGTAACATTTTCCACGTGTTCACAACGGCAAGTCTCAACAATACACAGAGTCTTCAAAAAACTTCTTCGGCGAATGACGACGAACGAGTAGAAAACGTGTCGTCAGCACGCTGGAAAACCGCAGCAAAGGCTAGCAAAAGCGGCAAATCGTATCCCAAGCGAGTGAAGCCCGGTGGCTTCACTTGCGCTGCAGCGAACAAGCGGGGAAGCGCGATCCAGCAATTGTCATTGAGAGCGCACGCCGCCCAGTGTTGCCAGATTGGGCTATATATAGCCAAATTGGGCTACATTTTTTTTCTAGTTGGCGTCAAAATTTCGTGGCTGGCTATGTGGCTATTTTGGGCTATTTCTAAGAATGCGGCGAACTTTTGTCGAACCTCAGATTCGACGCCGAACTTTCAGGTTCGGTTAGTTCATTTTGGAACTTTTAATCAGTTTGGAAACAAAAAAAGTTTCTCTTTTGGTTAGTCGAGAAGATGGAGAGGAAGGAGAAAGGCTTCAAACTTCTACAGACTTTGGGGTTTTCACATTACGCAGTGAAGCAATGCTTACAGAGTTCAAGCGGTCTCCAGCGCAGTGGAGCAAACCAAACAGATTGTACCATTACCACAGGCCCGGTAGCGCGCCTTCAACCCGGACGCATATGGCTCTGTCCGGACGTAGGCTGAACTGAGTGTGAACTCTCCAAATGCTGCTATGGTGCCCATTGTGAGAATCCTTAGACACCCAGGTTTGTAAAAAAAAGAAGTCCGCAGTTTCACCGCTAAACAATAAACTACCTTCCATACGTTGCTCACCCCAAGAAACGAAAACACAATTAGAAATAGCGTGAGCATGAATGGGTGATAGTAATATTCTTTACAAAGAAAAAGAGACGAGACCGGGGGGGGGGGGGGGGGGGGGGGGGGATATTAGTAAGGACCTGAGATATTGGGGTTCTGGTTTGAAACACCCAGTGTTATGACTGTTCTGCTTCTGTATTTTGTGCTTTTATTGCATGATCATATTTCCCGGGCATCCCAATAAAGCTGTCTTTGTGTGTTTTGTACTTCTGAAAACTTACGAAGGAAGGGCCAGTTTTGTACGGATATTCATCCTACCGAAGCTTTTCTTAAAAAATTCACAAGTAACATAATATGCACAAAAGGTGATGCATCTGAGGGTTGAAACAGAGATTGTAACGTGTATTGTATGAGCGTGAGAAATTGTCAATATAAGGCTTCAAATTCATTGTTTTAGTCTTGGCTATTTGGGCTATATTTTTTTTACGGCTTTGGCTATATTTGGGCTATACCTCCCAGCCGTTTGGCGTTTTTTTGGTGGGACCATCTGGCAACACTGACGCCGCCCCGGTCAGTCGTCGTCAACGTTACTAACACTCAGTTGGGAAACTCGCCGTCGAAACCTGGGCCGCTGGCGTCCACCGAGACCGAGCTAAATGCGACAACAGCGCCACTCTTTTTCGCTTGTCTGTACTATGGTCACCTCGAGCTTTTTGAAAGCCTGTTTTTGCGTAAAAACAAACGGAAAAGACTCTTTTTGTATGAAATTAATTGGAGTTAAGTACCAAATGATGGGCGCGTGATGTTTTTATCATCTTTAGTTCGCAAGGTTTTGCAGAACAATTAATATTGTTTTTATACAACCATGCCTCAGCGGGCCTTTCAGGTAGCGCGTCCAGACCTAGGTGCATTTTAACCTCTGTAGCTGAACGCGGCGCGTCCGCCGCGGAGACGGGGGTGGCACCCCTGTAACCTCATGCGCTGTATCTGTTCTTACAACCAAAGTAGAAGTCGCGTGCAGTTCCTCGAGTGGCCGCTGCGGGAGAAATGGTGGCGTTGTGTTCGTCATTAACTCGGTGCTCGGAGACAGATTGGGGCCACTTTTTCAAAGCTGTCTCTATGGGAGTTTCCCAACTCAGTGTTTTAGTAACATTGGTCGTCGTGCACCTTCACAACCAGGCTGCGTGTCGTCTCTTCTCGGCGGGTGTTTCGGCCCCCTTCGCCCACGTTCTTGAAGGCTCGTGACAGAAATGTGTCCTTTCACGCCAATGATTGAAGCCTGGATATAAGCTGAAACCAACTTCGCAAAAGGATATGTGCCACCACTTCCAAAAAGTTCCTCAAACACTAACACAAACGTCTTTTGAACCCAAAGCACCAATCTCGGTGCTTTCAGCTAAAAAATCACCGAGACTGGTGACACTGACGGACAGTGAACGGTGTTTGCCATTTGCCTTAGTTCAACGCTAGAAAATCTCTGCTCCTCCTCACATTTCAGCTTGCGCACAGCGTCGACACAGGTGAGCCCTTGTCTCACCTGTGAGACAAGGGCTCACCTGTGTCAGAGTCTCACTCCGGTCGGTCATACAAATGAGCAGACAAGAAATCACCTGTGTCTGCGCATTTGAATGATCGACCTGAGTGAGGCCCTGTTTAATGGTGCTTGGAATGCCTCTTCGACTGGTCTGTTTGGTCGTCCTCAACTGTGGTCCGCCAAATACCGGCTGATGACGTCAGAAAAATGTCCTGCTGTTGCCAGATGCGATCCTGGCCTCGTCTGTTAATAGAAATCGCAATGTTTTGCTTGGGGCGCGGCTGACTTGGACAAGTTATTTTCTTTGTTTTCGCAAATGCCGATAAAACCCGAAAATTAACCCCCCAAGAGGGTTTTATCAAAAGCGTACAAGAAAAACCCAAGCTTCACGGGAAGAAAATCTTTATCAAGTTTTATTTTGCGTTAACCAAGGACAGAGCCTCCACTGAACTGTCTGCGAAACTTTTTTGAAAACCACATCCCCTTAGGGTTATCGTTTCCTTCTCTTTTCGATACCGGGACGATTTCTAAGAACGAGCAATCCCGTTTTCTTCGAGATAAGCCCCAATTTTCTTTCTAAAAATTACCGAATCTGCGCTACAAAAATAAACTCTTAAAACGCGGGACCCTATCTAGGCACGAGTCATACCATTCTACGTCCTTTCGTGCGTTCCCATGTGCTGCGTCAGGTTCCCACGCGAAGCAAAGACCTTAGGACATTGCTCGCACTCGAAAGGTTTCTCCCCCGCGTGCCTTCGCATGTGCTGTGTCAGGTTCCCACGCGAACTAAAGGTCTTGAGGCATTGCTCGCACTCGAAAGATCTGTCGCCCGTGTGCCATCGCATGTGTTCCACCAAAGTCCCGCGCGCAGCAAAGGCTTTGGAACATTCCTCACATCTGTGTGGTCTCTCGCCCGTGTGCGTTTGCATGTGGCGGTTAAGACGGAAGAGCTGGGTGAATGCCATGGGACAAGACGTGCATTTGTAAGGTCTTTCTCCCGTGTGTGTCCGCATGTGGCGGGTCAGGTTACTGCGCACACTAAAGGCTTTGGGACATTGCTCGCATCTGAAAGGCCTCTCCCCTGCGTGCCTTCGCATGTGCTGTGTCAGGTTCCCACGCGTAACAAAGACCTTGGAACACTGCTCGCATCTGAAAGAACTATCCCCTGCGTGCCTTTGTATGTGCCGCGCCAGGTTACCGCGTGAGCAAAAGGCCAGAGAACATTGCTCGCATTTGAAACATTTCTCACCTGCGTGCCTTCGCATGTGCTCTATCAAATTCCCACGCGCAGCAAAGGCTCTGGAACATACCTCACATCTGTGTGGTCTCTCGCCTGTGTGCGTTCGCATGTGGCGGTTAAGAAGGAAGACCTGAGTGAATGCCATGGAACAAGATGTGCATTTGTAAGGTCTCTCTCCAGTGTGTGTCCGCATGTGGCGTTTCAGATTGTCACGTGTGCCATAGACTTTGGGACATAGCACGCATTGGAAAGATCTCTTATCCGAGTGCGTTCCAATGTGCTTCGTCAAATTCTCGCCCTGACTGAAGGCTTGGACAGATTGCTCACAATTGTAAGATCTCTCACCCGTGTGTGTTTGAATGTGAACTACACACTCTAAGCTTCGCAAGAAAGCCTCCGGACAGATAGTACACTTAAACGGCTTATTCCAAGCAAAGGCTTGGGACCACTGCTTATGTTTAAAAGGGCTTTCACCCTCATGCATTCGAATGTGATCGACCAGTTGAGTATTTTTCTGGAATGTCGTTGGACACAGGTGAGACTCGAAAGTTCTTTCTGGCTTGTGAATCTCAGTCTGGTCTCCCAAGTCTTCCACCATCGAAATGGATTCTGGGCACGGCTGGTACTTGGCTTGTTGTTCATCACTGTGGAAAACCAGGTGATGGACGATCCCATGCTGATCTCCAGTGACACAGGTGCAGAAACAGCATTTGAAGAGAATGTCTGTCGTGGTTTCCGGAAGGTAGCCAATCTCCTTGGAGTATGCACCTCCATCGCCTACACGAATAGACAACCCCGTGTGTATTAGGAGACAAAAGAAAGACTAAATCACAGCAAAGGTAGCCATAAATGCTAGGCACACTTTGACACAGCGAAGGGTAGTCTACACGAATCTCAGAGCATCTAACTGCTTGATACACTTTTGTGCAGCACCAAGGCATGCACCAAGGCACAATGGTTCAGCTATTTTGACAAGGCTAGAACAACACAAATCAGCATCCACTACAGGTCAAAGAGTACTATGTTCACCTGGTCGTTCTTCAGCTCAAAATCACCGTTCATGCAGCTAACAATAATAAAATAAGCGCAGGTCATATGCAACACACGTTGCCAGGTAGGAAGTTCTTCCGAAAACATTTCACAGGTGATTGAAGAGTAAGTACACAGGCGAGCTGGTTGATGTTACACATTTTTAAAAGAAACGGAGACCTTTTCGTCCGTAGTCGCCTTTTTTTTTTTTTGATTACACAGGTTTTTAATCTTATTTGGTGTATCAAATTAATGTCGCAATAGGTAGCTTCAAAACCAGAGAGGTCTTCTCATTTTCAATTTGCCGTCCTTTTGGTCGAAAACAGGGCGTGTATTGTGGGATTGAGTGTTCTGAATATCATTTTAGTTGTAACACGCTTTATTATCTTCACAGTGTTTTTCATGTATCTATGGTATTAGTAATCTTTACTAGCCTGTTAACTGTAATATATTAGTACTTGAAATGTAGAATGTGTACATGTGTGTGTGTGTATGTATATGCATGTATGTGTATATATATACATATATATATATAGTTTTTTTAAGCTTTACATATTTGTTTTAAAAACGCTGTGAAAGCTACACTTATGCAGTTTGTGCAGGTGATTTATATGGCCAGGAGAACATTATATGGGTGGCTAATTTTTGCGAGAACCATTATATCAACTTCATTTAGGAAGATATGACAGGGAAAGCATCTTACGGTGTTCTGAAAAAAAAAAAAAGAAAAGAAGCTCAATTTTGACGCGTTTTTAGGTTTTCGTTTTTTATCGGACTGCATAGAAACTTGCTGAGCGTCGTCCAATACACCTAAATCAGTCATTTTTAGAACCACCCGTGGAGCAGGTACAAGGCAAGCGGTTGCGGTAACATGCCCGCGCAATTTTTCCTTCTCTTATGAGAGCCCCAGCTTTGTGCCTGCTCCACGAGTTATAACTTTAGTGCACTAGTACGCTTCTGACGCATTTAAGAGTTTTTCTGAAAATTACCGATTTAGTGGTTTTCGATGATGCTCAGAAGTTTCTAATTGGAATCATGTCTATTTTCATCAACTAAAAAGTTAATTAGTCATGTTTAATTAATTAGCATACTAATTAGTAAGTATCGCACATTTTCTGACATCCGCCGTTTCGATTAATGCGGTCCCGAGAAAATTTTCTTTTTACTTTGAATACACTTAAAGGGGCCCTGCAACAACTTTTTGACTGATTCTTATTTTGCGCCGATCCTGAGCGCACTGAACGTAGTAACTTAATGATACTTTTCTTTTCTCGAAATTCGCTTTATTTTAAAAGTTATAGGCAAATTAAAATTACAAAAACAAGCAAAAAATAACCTCCTTCATGACGTCGTAGGTCCTGGCTTGAGTGGCCGTGAACTAGACGCGGGATAGTGAGCTCATCGAGCGCTCACGACTGCCGCACTCCGTGTCGACGGCTCGAGAGGGCGCCACTAAAGCACGAGTTGGATAGGCTGTATGAAGCGGGCGGTCAGGGCGGCTCGCATTGCATTTGCTGCAGGATTAAAGGCTAATTCAACGTAACACTTCATTGGCCACAAACGACAGCAAACACGGGGTAAATATCAGTTTAGAATGGGAGCCACTTCGCGCTGCCATACCGCGAAACGGCCAAACCGCAAGGGAAAGCTTCTCGCCGAAGGCCTTCGGAGCGCTCGGAGCCGGTCGGATCCTCCTGTCCATACGACCGCAGCGCCGACGCGTACATCCGGGACCCTTCTACGCACGCCGTTTGTCGGCGCCTCATCCCACTAGCCCTTTCTAGTATGCGCCGTTTTTTTCCGCCGCTTGGTGGTGGGTATGTCGACGGGTCATTTCTTGTTTTCGTACTTTATAAACTGCATTTGTTTCTTTTCTGATCTAAAATACTGAACCAAAACTACTTTCATACATAATTGAAACGGTTTGCGACACTTGTATTTTGTACCTCGACTAAAAAAAACATGTTAGCGGTTCTGACCAGTAGTAAGCCCAGGACCAAAGACGTCACATATCGCGCGCTTTCGCCAACGCGGGTCGCCCTCGTAGGTGGAGGAGGTTTCCGCGTCGCCCGGTTAAAATATGACGCACTGATATTTAGTTACTCCCTCCGTGCCCGCTGGCTTGCCCGAACCCCAAAAGACCTGGAAACCGCAAAAAAAGGTACACGCTTAAATATGATTGCAGGGCCCCTTTAATTGCAGGAATTTTTGTCACCCTTACGTGAAACACCCAATATATATATATATATAAATATATATATATATATATATATATATATATATATATATATATATATATATATATATATATATGTGTGTGTGTGTGTATGTTTGTGTGTGTGTATTTTGTTTGTTGTCATTGCTTTCTTTTTTGCTTTTTTTTGCTGTCGCTGTGTGCCAAATTGTTAGGCTGCAGGGGTTTCGTCAAGTCCAATCTTTTTGACTTTTTGCCCCGGCAGCCTTCATTAACTCTTGACATGAAAAAAAGCATGTATTGATTGATTGTAATAATGCACCTAGCAACCAAAGCATGGAGACAGTTCGTAGATTCTGACCAGTGGGCTGCTGTAGTGTCAAAGTTGCTGCAAGCATCTGACATCACAACAACTCTTGCTGCAGGATGGCGGCTGGTGGTTTAATCATTATTCTTTTGCACCACACATACCCTAATGACGCTACAAAATTTTTACTTTGCAAGATGATGGGGACAACCCTCCACAAACTGCAGTCATGAATTCATCTGGCTTTTTCCTTAATTTTTAAAGATATTCTATCGGTAACCGTTGCACCATGGAGAACTTTCAACTTTATGCTGGGCAAAAGAAAGGGAGTCAGCCCCATCCCAGTAATAGCCCTTCTCTCCAACAAAGTAACAGAGGACATCTTAGACAAACTGGGGGAAACATTCCTGCCGCAACCCACCAACAAACCAAGAGCCGAGATATATCTGCCCAAGCGTGCAGGCCATCGGACAAACCCCAAGACCTCCCCTTTATTGGTGAGAACTTGGAGCAGTGATTCACCAATGCCAAACCAAAAGTGCACCAGGCCACGATGGCATCACGGTCTCAATGCTTAGAAATCCTAAAATGGTTCAACAAATGGGAATCAGGGCAGTTGCCCGAGGAGTGGAAACTCCCCTCATCACTCCCATATCCAAGCCAGGGAAACCAGCGAAGGACTACAAAAACGTACGACAAACTTCGCTTACATCAATCATGGGTAAGCTCCTCAAGTGTACGGTGCTTGGCAGAATCCAATACAATGCAAAAAATCTAGGCATATTCCGTCCCATGCAAACAGGTTTAAGGGCAAATCTTAGCACTCGTGACAGCTTATCTACGACCTATAAAGATGTCGTCGACGTGCACCCAGCCAAGAAACAAATGTGGGTGACTGCATCCATAGATATCAAAAAGGCTTTCGATACTGACTCCTAAGAGTCCATAATCGACAAGATGGGACAAGGTCTTGATGGAAAACAACTCAGCTTCGTCAAATCCATCCTCTTGGGATGCGCCTACAAGGTTATAGCTGGTTGTGGCAAAGACGGCAAGGAGGGACCCACACGCGACAACAACATTGGTGTTCCGCAGGGACCAGTACTATCCCCAACCCTATTCAATATAGTAATGGCACCACTCCTATTGAAACTGTATGAAATTTCCCACCTCAAGGTATGCAGACAATGTGACTGTATAGACACACAAAGAGAACCCCAAAATGCAAGCAACAACTCTGCAAAAAGGTCTCAACACCACCAAATCATATCTCAACAAAGTAGGAATGTACTCTTCACCGGAAAAAAACTAATTACACCATATATGAAAGGAATCCGAACAACAAAAACCTTGTGCTCACCTTTGCCGAAAACCCAATCCAACGAGAAAACTCCATAAAAAGTTTAGGAGTAAACTTTGGATACATGCCAAAGAACACAACAACAGAGCATCAATCTCCCTCAAAATGGGAGGCGCGAGGAAAAAGACGGCAAAGAAGTTGGTCACGTCAGCACTCGTCTCAAAAATTACCTATGCGGCAGGATTTTGCCCCCTCACCCGGCGACACCACAACAAACTCAAGACCTCGCTAAATGAAGCTAGAAGGACCGTCCTCGGACTGCCGAAAACACACCCAGATAAAGAGCTAGCCAAGTGTATTTTCCTCCCGCATATCGCAGATTTCATCCAGCAGCAGAAGGATGCTCAAGTCTCTTGCCTACAACATACAAACAAAGGCAGGATGATTGCGAAATTCATGTGTACAAATCCAGGCAGATCTTCCAATCCCAAGAAGACCGCCCCCATGAGAACTCATTGATGTGACAGACTATGAACCCCTACCCATGAACATGCATGCAGATAGACACAAGGAATGCCGGGACCATTACACAGACAACACAAGAAAGACCTAGCACAGATACTAACAATCCTTAACAACATGGTGGCCTATGCAGATGCTAGCCTCGGCACCACAAACTGGGCCACTGCAGTCACCTACCTCAAGAACCACACAACCTGGACTATGACCCAAGGCGGTCCCCTAGCCCATCACACACCAGCATATGCAGAGTGGAAGGCCGTCCTGCAAGCCATTGAAGGGGCCACACCCCACTTCGAAACTGACCAGCAGCTAGTTCCCTATACGGACTCCAAAGAAGTGATTAGAGAACTTAAACAACACAAGTACTCTGTAAGTCCCACCATAAAAGCAATATTTGATTCCGCAACCCAATTACACCGGAACAAAAAGCCAAGATCAGCGTCAGGTGGGTCCCCGGACATGAGGGAACACCCGGCAACGAGCTAGCACACGAAGCCGCACAGCAGGAGATGAGAAACCTCACGCACCCGTCCCTTCAGTCCCGTCCCTGCAGCCCTGGCCTTGGGACGTCAGCCCATCACGCCTACAGCCGAGCGATTGCAACGACAATCCTCATGAGGACCAAGATATGTTCGACCCCGTTGAATGAAGAACTGCGATTAGACCAACGAACAAGGAAACGCCTCGTAAGAAGATTCTGGTCCCCAGAGGAACACCCTATCCCAAAAGATACATTTCGAAGAAAAGAAATAGTGCTGCTACGGCGCATTCGCACCGGCAAAGCGGAGACTCCCAGCTTCCAGTATAATATAGAACTTTATGCTCTCAAAAAAGAACACCCCTATGCAGTACCACCTGACCCCCGGTGTAAACTTTGCAGAAGGGGGGGACTCGTGCCCCAGTTTACATCCATCCATAAATTATTGAGCAACCCCCGCATCATAATGGTTTTCGCGGTTCATTCCAGGCTCCCAAATGTCTTGCTCACACAAGCAGGATAAGCTCCTCCCGCGAAGCTCTCTTCAGCAAACGCTGAAGAGGAGCCGAGGGACGGGCCGCCGTGAACCGACAAATTTGTAACATGCGTGATCGAAGCGGCGGCCTAATTTCGTACACCTCGGATAGGTAGAGGTTATTAAATTATTAATAAAGATTATATTTTAAAAGAGTAAAGCTATACGCACTCCGGAGTGCGCTTCGCGCGGAAATGGCTATACGCACTCCTCCGAGAGATCATGCCGCTCGGGCCACCCTTTTCGAACGGCGCGTGAATCACTGGGGCGCTCGTTAACACAGCCCCCCGCCTGCGTTCACGCCGCTTCGCGGCGACAGTATCGGCTGCTAATTACAAAGCGTAACCAGTACACGCCGCTTCGCGGCGTCCAGCCGGCAATCCAAGCCCCGCTGTCCCCGATCGCACCTCCGGAAAGGGAGTCCGATACCATTTAGTTCTGCGAAGTTTCTCGACAACATTCGATTTTTTTTTCTTTTTTTTACTGTTCATCGCAAAAAAGGAAATGTCGTAAATATCGCCAAATGCCTCGACAAAACAAAATGTTCGAGAAAAAAAAAAAAAAGTAGGCCCACCGCGGTTCGAACCCGCGTCCACTTGCGTATAAAGCAGACACCCTAACCCCTATGCCATGGCACCGCTTAGGAAACTCGTTGTGTCCACTCTTTTTATACGAGAAAAGCGGAGTGCGTATAGCCATTTCCGTCCGAAGCGCACTCCGGAGTGCGTATAGCTTTACTCATTTTAAAAAGTCAATCTTACCGTGCTCGATGAGATCAGAATCCATTGACGTCGCTGCTCTTCGCCAACAAGCCGATTGTGTCCGCGGTGTCAGGTCGTCAACAGCTCACGAGATCATGACGGGAGCACGGGAGATCGGGAAACAGAGGCGTTGTGACTTAAATTCAGAGGTTGATTCAGAGTAAAGTCTGTGAAGTACGACGACAAACGGGAACCACAACCACTGGAACCATGTTGGAACGGGTGGAACGAACCCATGCCCCTCTGCTGTCACAACCATAAGATCCTACATATGTTGAAGGTCGACACACAGCCCGCCCACGTCAAAAACGTTCATGAGGCCCGCGCATCGGTTGATTTCGGATACTATTTGCTTGGTGCTGCGACTTCACAGAGGCTGTAGCGGCTTCAATGACTTCTTGCACTTCTTGCGAGCGGACGAGCGGTTTGTGTGAGTGGCCAAGGCGGACAAACGGGCCACTTGGGAGTCAAGCCAGGTCAAACCGTCCGGGACCAAGTCGTGGATAATATCGTGGACAAGCTGGACAAGTGAACTTTTGGTGCTTTTTATTTTGTTTTTGTTTTTGTGTTTTCTTTATCCACGTCATATCGACAACGATTTCTTTTTTTATTTTGAAACGTGCCTGTGACGTTCCTTATGGACGTTTCTTTGGGAGCGACCGCGCTGATGCGAAAGGGTTTTGGTGGTTTAGACATTGTTCTTTTAAAAGTCAAATTTATTTTCACCTTTCTAGACTCCCTGCTTTCCATTGATTCAAAAATAAGCAGTCAAGATTTACATTTTATATTTATATGCACAACAAAATTTGACAAATAAAACGAAACCGAAACCAGTTGACTGGCGCGGAACAAAGTACCGTAGTAAAATAGATAAATGGGCTAGTTGGTACATCATTGAATGGAAAGCGCCGAATAAACAAGGACCCTTCTTGGTCCTTGTTTATTCGGCGCTTTCCATTCAACAATGTACCGTCTGCATTCCTCGAGTCTAGAAGTTCGACACCATAATGAAAATGATAATATTTATTCAACTCAGGGGAGTTGCGGGACCACTCGTTCATACTTGCGGAAAACTTCCTTGATGCCGACCTAATTTCCTGGGCGGAAAAAGACTGCGCCGTTCACATTTTTTGCCACCCGCTGCTTTCGCTCGACCAGTGGCATCACGAGGGTCAGCGCTGACCCTCGTGGAGGTTTGTTGGACCTACATGGAGTGTTTGTTGTCAAGCCTGGAAACTACCATATGTAAAGCACATTTTGTGCTCAATCACCACCGTCGGACGAAGCAGTTTCGGGAAACTTCATTTAGACTGTTGAACAGTAGCCCTTTGGGATCCTGAGAACGTTTCTCAAACCACGGCACCTTAGCCTTGAGCAAAACTGGATTAAGATATGCACAGCCTGCGCGCTTTATAGGCCCAAGGTCATGTCCTCAAGGTCATATGCTGCCTGTGGCTGAAGTGCCAGGTGGCATAAGAAGGTCACGTAGTGCCTGGCTGAAGTGCAAGGTCGCATGATCAAGGTCAAGTAAGCGCCGGTTGCGTAAGCTCCGTTCGCATAAGCTTGTAAGCGCCGGTAGCTGAAGCAGACGTGACCGGTTGACGTCGTCCTTGAGGTCGTCCTAGAGGATGTAATTGAAACCATCCTAAAAGTCGTCCTTGAGGCCGTCCCAGACGTCGTCTCCTTTAGGATGTCACCCTGGACATCATTCCAACATGTCATCCTAGACGGTGTCTTTGAGGTCGTCATCGACGCCGTCCTTGATGTTGTCCTTAAGGTCGCCCTAGATGCCTCCCTCGATCTGTGTACGGCATATTACAATTATTTCATCACCGTATCATTTCTTAATTGCTTTCATAAACAATGTTCCTGTAAAGCAAATGCATTTCGTAGCGCTTGGCCGAATGAGCGTGCGTGCAATTGTTAGGAAGTTTACATAAAGTTTCATGGAACTACTTCAACAAACGATGGTCATTGAGCACAAAATGTGCTCTAAAGTCAGCATCTTTCCAAGCTTTACAATGCTCCATGTAGGTGACGCAAGATGGCAGGAATCGGCGATCCAGCAAATTGTCATAAAGATCAGTGGTCCGTGCGGGCAATCGGGGCGAACAGTGGCTGAAAACCTCCGGGCCACAGCTGGTGAGCGAGAGGAAGTTTAGCAAGACGCCATATACGACTCCTCGTGCCTTTGCAGGAACACGACACCCAAAGGCTCAACAGGGAAGGTGGGCAATTCAGAATCCTTCGCCCATTTTTTTTGACGTGGTGACGACACAATGCTGGCGCCGTCTGGCCAGTGTTTTTAATCTCAGGTTTAAAGCAATGTGGAGTGCAAGTTCGCCTGCTTCTTGCACAAGGGTTACAATGATGTCAGAATGCCGAGCTCTTATTGGCTGATTGAAAAAAATAGTGGGTAGACCTTAATGCATCCCGCATTGAGGTCAACCCACTATCCTTCCAATCAAAAACAATCGGAGCTAGGCGCCGTTCCGACATAACGCAACCCCTGTGCAAGGAGCGGACGACTTGCTCTCCGCATTTGTCAGCGACACCGTCTTGGCATCACCAACATCACGTCAGACGAGTGAAATGACGTGTCGATTGAGGAGAAGAGGGGTTCAGCCACGCTAAAACTGTCTGAGTGCATTGGGCTTTGAAGTGGATTATCCTCTTCAAAGACCAAAATTTACCGTAAACTTGGCAAACAGTGAAGCTACGCTCTCGGGGAGCCAATCAAAGCATGCCATCGAAACCACAGGAGGGAGAGAGGAAAGCCGCTTTGTGGGAATCTCTAGTGACGGGCTAATCTTCTAGGGGGACGAAAATGATGCCTGGGAACACACAAAGTTGGGGCCTGGATAGAAGCTCCTCCCCAGTCTTCCCCAACTGAGTGGGTTACACCCACGCACCCGTACCTTCGGTAAGGGCCGTCACATACATTCAGCTCCGTAGCTCCGACTGGCTTGAAGGGGCCGTAGCGTTCGTCCTTTGCCAAGTTACGATGAAACGAAGATATCGAGTAGATGCTCCATGTGACGAAGCATTAAAAGGGCAGAAAGCTTGCACTTGAGACATGGCATTTTAGACATATCAACACTGTAAAAAAGAACTCATACGACAGACGAGAGACTTCTTCAAAATGAGCTTTATTTAAATACTCATATACACATAACAACATGGAACCAGCCGGAAGAACGAGAAGCTCCGACAGTCACGAACATCGAAATAAAAAAAAAAATACTAAAAACGCCAGCGCATTTTTGTTTAATGCGAAAAGTTGCTACGCGCGGGCACCATGCAATAGGGCGACACGAGATGCCCACTTCCGTCGCCGTGGAAGTGTCGCGTAACCACAACTTATATAACGCAAGAAAAAAAAAAAAAATTAAAAGCGTTTGTTTCTTGGCGAAAACCACATTTTGTTTTGGAAATCCGCTCCAAGAGGTATTGCGCGAGACCACGATGTGCAAGTGCCGTAAAAAGCGAAGAGCCGTTTCTTAAAAGACGTGTGGGGTCCAGACTCGCTCACACCTAAGTTGTCGTTCAAACAAGGCACATTAGAGGCGTCTCGCGGCAACGCAGAGACGGACAGAGAGACTCTGAGAGGCACTTGAGCAATTGTCGCAGCACGACAATGAGCGGCGGTCACGACCCTAACAACGGCGAGTTCAGAACCGAACGCAATGGCACACTGTCGTATAAAAATGGGCGTTGGTCTGACGAAATCGCGTTGGACGAGTCGGCCAGCTCTACCCAAAGATCGGCGAAAGCTCGGTTGCCTGCCGAGTTGCAAGCAATAGGGCACGGGTACCTTCTGCACCAAGACGCCGGATCAAACTTGAGAGGTTGTGATCCAGAGTACGCAACAGTCTGCAATTTAAGGCTCTGGTCCCACGGTGGCCATATTGAATAACTACAAAACAATATTTAATTTATTAAAAAAAAAAAATAAAGGCATACTCCGAAATAGCTTTGCTGGCTTGTTAATGATCTGATGATTAACTTACGCCTATAATAGCTCGCCCTAGAATTGCAAAGAGTACGCTCGCAAAGTTACTTTCAAGTGCATATTTAGGTTTCCCTTCAAAATTTTTTAACCGCGTTGTACCCATTCGAGAATGCCACCGTGGAACCGGAGCCTTAAATGCAACCCCATTGCTAACAAAAAAAAAACAACAAAAAAAACCTTCCTCTCATAGGAGACACTATTAATGCCTAAAATAAGCTCGGAGAAATTCGTCCGGCCTAGAATCCTTGCTCTTTCAAAGACGTTGTCCTTGATCGTTTACGACCCCTCCTTGCAAACAAGTTGAGGTGTCACTCTTAATAACAAAACGAAAGTCATCGATTCGGGCTCTTTTGTGGCAGTAAGGAACTTCGAACGATGCGCTGAGACCCTGCAAGAGGTTTTCTTCCGCCTCCAAGACCAGTACCATCTTGTAAACTCTAGCATCGAAACACTGCAGATTACGAAAAGATTTTGACGCTAAGAACTGAGCCACTAGTCGAGCGCTTCTCACTTCGTCACGTTTATGTACACTCAGTTTTAAAAAGTTACCAGCTACTTCGTCGAAAGCTACGCACATCCAAAGATAAGAGAGCGTGGTTTTTAGTTTTGCAACGACTTATCTGCTTCTTACCCTGGTGAACTGTGCACGCTTGCTACACCTTTGCCAAGATGAAAGTAACCGCAATAAAGGCACGTCCTGTTTGAGCCATCTTCGCACTTCTCGGAAAGCCGGAAGCACTGGACCGTGTTGCTGGGAAAGAGAAGTGGGATAACCTTTTCCCACAAAACCTTCCTCTTTCTACTTCAGCAGAGCAAATGCTAGAGTTGAGGAGAATCTCTCCTTGTCAGTGTTTGCTCTGCTGAAGTGGAGTGGAAGGCTTTGCAGGATGAGCTTGTCCAGCTCCTCTTAGCCCACACAAGGTGAAGATCGTACATCATTCAAAGCATCTCCACCACACGAGCATAGGCACGATAGGACATTTTTCCAGAGCTACTCGTCCACGCTCGCAACTTTCGTATACTGCCGAACCGGAGACAAACTAAGACTTCTAAGTGACCGAAACATTGTTTCGGCGTTTTGGCATTAAAACTATGTTTAAAAAAGATCTAATTTCCGTCGACACCAACGACGGCGTCTTCCAAAATGTCGAACTAACAAAAAAACACGACTTGACACTTAAAAACTCGCAATTACTAACCAGAGCTTTCGAAACACAACAACAACAACAACACAACGACTCGTGCAAAAGCAGACTTTCCCAAAAGCCACAACTACATTAACTTGCACGCCACGAAACAGTCGGGTTTCGTACGGCGAGCCCAAGGGGTGACATCGAATCGTTGGGACACACAAATGCTGTACACATTTTCACTTTTTTTTTTGTTTTCAAATGTTCATTAAAAAGAATGAGCTAGGCACTTTCACAACATTGCAGCCAACGTTCGAGCTTCGCGCAGCCGACCACAACGACTTGCAGGCACGCCCTGCACGAACGAAAAGCCACGGAGTCTGCACACAGAGTAAAACTTGTTTTTACACAGCCGGCAAAACTGGCATCTTTGAACACCCAGCAGGTACGCTTAGATTCCCGTCGAGACGACATCCGACGGCGGACGGCGATCCACGACCCTCTAACTTCTGCTCGACGTTTGGCGTCGACCAACGAGTAGCCAACAAGCCTCGGGCAAACATTGGAAAGACTACGGAGCGTGGCAAGTGGCACCGAATTCCCATCGGCCGCTTGCATTCGGCGACTAAAAGTCTCTCGAACGCGAGCGGACGATGTTGGGCACGCTGCGGCGAACCCGCAAGAGCGCTTCCCCTTCGAAACGAGCAAGAGCGCTTCCCCTTCGAAACGAGAACTCCCGCGCAAATGCGGCCACGACCACCGTTGTCTTTGGTCGACGCCAGGACCGCGACGAGCGTGCCATATTTGAGAGCTAATACCGAAGCCTGGCTCACGACTGGCGCTAGATCTTGCGGCTGGGTAGGGTGGACGCTTTGCCGCCGGGCGCCGAGGCCGAGCCCGTGGACGTGTTCGAGGCCGACGACGCCGACGAAGGGAACTTGCGGAGCCGAGACGTGCTCGGGGAGTTGGAGGAGGAAGACGCAGCGTAGCCGCACGCGTCCACACGGAGCCGGAGTTGCGCCACCCAGCGGCGCTGGTCGTCCGGCGACGGCGCCAGCAGGAGCATCTCCTTGGCAGACGTCGGGTCCACCTGCGACATGGAGCGCGTAACGACTGAGAACGCTTGGTCGTGCGTTTCCATAAGCGAGCGGTGTTTTATATGCAATATTTACACTGTCGCGGTGCTCCACGCTGCCGTTGCCATCCTTACCCACTTCTTCGTCGCCCTCATTCGACGGGAAAGTGCTCTTTGGAAAAGATGTTTGACAGAGTGCGATGCGCTGTGGTCACAGATGGAAACGACGCACGTCGAGTTCAAGAAGTCATATGGTCGACCTTCCGAGTCGTAGACAACTACAGTATAGACCACTTACAACGTAACCGCTTATAGTGCAGGACCGGGTATAACGCGGTTTTTTTAAACCACTGGTTCGCCTCCCATAGATCTCCATATAATTACACACTACCTAAAATGCAGGCGCGCGAAGGGAAATACCGGTTATAGTGCGGTTTCTGGAACAGCCCGCCAACCGACCAACGCAGCGAGCACGCTTCCCTGTGCGACACTAGATAACGGCGCTAGCCGCAAGCGGCACTCGCGGGGGAAAGGATGGCAAGGAGGTTGCTCGAAGCGGGGAGAAGCGAAGAGAAAGGCTTTAGTTGCCATAGCGACAGAGGGACGCGCGCACGAACGCGCTTCCCTCGTGCATGCACGAGGGACGCGCGTGCACGTGCATGCATCCCTCCGCTGCGTTAGAAAACAACCGCAACGACAAACCAATCGCAGGTCGAGGAGAAGTGTTCGTGCGCGTTGCATGCCGGTCGCGGGCCGGCTGCTTCTATCCGCAAACATGGCGTCGGTTGTCATCGTCGACGTAGACCTCCGCGTAAAAGCGCTATCCGTGACTGTGAATTTTCGTTGTGCGAGCGAATAACCCAGCACGTACTAGAAGGCAAGATCCACCTACTCGTGCGGCGATGTCGTGGCGGCACTCTCAAAACGGCAGAAATGCCCGTGTCGTTGTGTTTGTTTACTTCGACTACAGTGGTGACTTCTAAGCATTTGTGTTTTCGAACATCGCCCGGATTTCTTATTTGGAGCATTTCATGCCTGTGCTCAAGTTGAAGGTAATACTGGCGCGTACCGTATAAAGGATGCGAATTTTCACGCGTTTATATCACCGGAGAAAAGTGATTAGGGTTAGCAATCCTGAACGCTCGCAACGTCCTCCCGCAACCCGCGACGCCGTTAAAAGGCTGCGCCAGGCGAAAGTCGCTCATTTCTTTCAAAATGTGTGACACACATGAGAGAGAAGTGTACTAGTCTGGTGAAATAAAGACTTTCCTCAAACTAAGCTTTATTTTTCATCTAACATAAAATAAATTATTTTACAAAGGTAAGTGGTCTCATGGCAAGTATTTTGGCCTGAAAAATTGATGTTTTGGTTATAGCGCGGTACCGCTTATAGTGCGGATTTTTGCGACTCCCGCGACATACGTTATATGCGGTCTACACTGTATACCGACTTTCACCCAAAAGTCTATACGAGATGCACTGACGAGACGTTGAGAGAAATACTCATTGCAACTGTGGTGCTTGGCAGGAGTCTTCGGCGTGTCATGCTGTAAAATGTCAAGACCCTGGCGGTCGGACCACCTGGGTTGCGGCCGGCGGCAACGCGAAACCCCTACGATGTCACCAGCTACCACTCGCACAGCAGGCACAAGGCTGGCGATATGAATACAGTCGAGCCCAGTTATATCACACTCAAGTACTATTTCGAATCATTGTTTATATTAAACAGTCCAAATAAACCCTTGGAAATCACAAGTGATACTGCAGGAGCGTTGTCTTTTTGTACAGAACTCCCATGGTGGGGACACTTGATATAGCAAACGAAGCCAAACCGCCCGCTGCTTTTCCCACGATTGCGCTGGTGGTGAGCACATCGCTTGCATTGTGGGACTGGCAGACCGCCAAGCCAGCAGACATGCAGTAAGACACACAGTGAAAGGGCAGTTGTCAAAAAAAGAAGAAAAAGAAACAATGAACGGTAAAAAAAAAAGATGTGGAGGATCATAAAAGCAAGGAAAGGGCACGCGCATGTAGGGAGAGCAGGGAGTGCTTGCTGTCGGAATGGTAACCTGCGCCCTTTCCTTGAACACTGCTGATGCTAGTGACTCCCTAGCTCCAAAATAAAACAAGCAAAAAAAAAAAAAAAAAAAAGTCTTGGCAATGGAGTGTGTTGACAACAATGGTTGTGCAATTGCACTTTGAATGCCTTATCTTAGTTAACCTTTTTCTTTTGCCGCCATTGCTTTGCCCATTTTTTTCTTTTCTTTTTTGCTGCCTAAATTTAGTGAGCTTCCTTTTTTGTTGCTAGCTTAACTTTTTTGTCTTATTTTATGCATCTTGCTTTTCCGTTTTTCTGTCATTTTTTTTAAATATTATTTTCGTGTTTCGTCGCTTATGCTGTGTGGAGGTCCCAGCCAGGTGCGCGTGTAAGCGTGGCAGTGTTAGCAGTCTCCACCAACTACGCTCTACTGTATTTAGCTGTTCTTGGATACTCTATTTGGTAAGCTCCCCTTTGTCGCGAACTTCGGTATTAGCAGAGATGCCAGGAAATTTCAACTCGAGCTTAATTTAACATATTTTTGTGTATGAAATATTGATATATCAAACTATTTTACAATATCCTTTGAATTCAATATATCCGGGTTTGACTGTATCATCCACATTTCCGCATCTCCAGCCTTGTGCCTGCTGCACAGTGGAAACATTCGCAAACCTCCTCACTTTACACATGCTTCGCCTTCTTAAAAGTGACCAATTTAGGTGTTTTTGATGACACTCCACAAGCTTCCAATTGAAACCACATGCTTATTTTTGCAAATTAGGAAGTAGATTATTATATATTAGCTCATTATTTAGCTAATTACCACGTTTTTCTAGAATCCCCGACATACGCCGTGGCTGGCAGTTTCTTCCTGAAAGGATTTCCTTTTTCTTCACCACCCTATTGGTAGGAATGCTCGATTCTTTGCCGAAACATCTGGTACACATACTGCACCGTGGCGATGGCACGAGGAACCCACCTTGCAGGGTGCCAAGAGGTCCACGTGGTCCCGGTGCAGCTTGAGCCTGCACCGCCGGCACTCGAGGGCGGGGGGAGGCTTGAACATGTGCCACAGGGGCTTGGGGCACAGCTCGCACGTCGTCGGCATGTGGAAGCTGATGGTCACCAGGTCGTGGCCCTTGTGCTCAAACGCGTTCGGCTGCGGGAGTCCGAACGAAAGACGGGTATCACGCGACGCACCACTAAAAACTATCGTTTCTGGGCTTCCAGGTTTCGCCTTGTTCCACGGAGACACATACACATTGAAGACAACATTACTAGACAGGTGAGCTAGTTGTCAATGAACTTACTAAAACCAGAGACAGAGGCAAAAAAGGAGGACCAAAAAGCAGGGTCCTGAAAGGCAACGTCTCCGAGACGTTGCAGTCGTCCTTTTTTGCCTTCGTCTGTGATTTAGATATCCCCTCAATTGACGTACGGGTTACTAAAGAAGCGATTAAATACCGCCACTTGTTTTTCGCTCGAAAAGTAACCAAGTACGTAGCCCGTTACCAAGGTCCAAAAGGAGTGCGTCGCTTCAGCTCAAAAGTGATGAGTGTACTTTCTCGTTACTCTGGATGGGTCGTTTTTCCGAAGCAGTACAGTATAGACCACTTACAACGTAACCGCTTATAGTGCAGGACCGGGTATAACGCGGTTTTTTTAAACCACCGGTTCGCTTCCCATAGAACTCCATGTATTTACATACCGCTTAAAATGCAGGCGCGTGAAGGGAAATACCGGTTATAGTGCGGTTTTTGGCACAGCCCGCCGACCGCGCCGACGACCGGAGCAGCGAGCACGCTTCCCTGTGCGACACTAGATAACGGCGCTGACGGCGCGAGGCGAGGACGTTGCTCGAAGAAGTGGAGAGAAGCGAAGAGAGAGGCTTCAGTTGCCATAGCGACGGAGGGACGCACGCACGTGTCGTTCACGTAGTTCACGTGCATGCGTCCCTCCGCCCCTCCGCTGCGTTGGAAACAAAGAAACAAACAACCGCACCGACAGACCAATCGCAGATCGAGGAGAAGTGTTCGCGTGCGTTGCATGCCGATCGCGGGCCGGCTGCTTCTATCCGCAAACATGGCGTCGGTTGTGATCGTCGTCGTAGACGGCGCTCATCTCATCGTTCTGCGTAAAAGCGCTATCCTTGACTGTGAATTTTCGTTGTGTGTGGTTATGATAACCCAGCACGTACTAGAAGGGAGGATCCACCTACTCGTGCGGCGATGTCGTGGCGGCGCTCTCAAGACGGCAGAAACGCCCGTGTCGTCGTGTTTATTTACTTCGACTACAGTGGTGATTTCTAAGCATTTGTGTCCTCGCACATCGCCCGGATTTTTTATTTGGTGCATTGCATGCGTGTGCTCAAGTTCCAGGTATTACTGGCGCGTACCGTACGAAGGATGCGAATTTTCACGCGTTTTCATCTCCGGAGAAAAGTGATTAGGGTTAGCAATCCTGAACGCTCGCAACGTCCGTCCGCAACCCGCGACGCCATTAAAAGGCCGCGCCAGGCAAAAGCCGCTAATTCCTTTCAAAATGTGTGACACACTTGAGACAGAACTGTACTAGTCTGGTGAAATAAAGACTTTCCTCAAACTAAGCATTATTTTTCATGTAAGATAAAATAAATTCGTTTACAAAGGTAAGTTGTCTCATGGCATGTATATTTTGGCCTGAAAAATTGATGTTTTGGTTATAGTGCGGTACCGCTTATAGTGCGGACTTTCGCGACTCCCGCGACATACGTTATATGCGGTCTACACTGTAGCGCCTTTCAATATTTTGCATCGTTAATGATGCCTAGTTTTGTGATGCATCACAGTGTTTGTCTGTGTGGGTTTGTTGTCACCAACTAAACCGACCGAGCAGAAAAAAAAAGCGCATGATCACAGCATAATTTTTGTGCACGTTTTGTTTAGTCGGAGATGGTGGGTGCACTTTTGGCACCGTCGGGTCGTAGCACTGGCAGCGGTGGGACTTAAAGGGGCACTGACACCCCAAAGGTCGTATTCTTTTTTATTGTATAAAACGATGCAAGTTGTAGTCATAAACACGCAAAAAAAAACGCATTGCGAAAAAAAAGTTCTTTGCGCGCAAGCGCGCCTTTTTATTTTTGGCGTTTATATTTCCCGCGCTCACCTCCTTGCTTCTTTTGATCGGTGACGTCAAAAATCAGGAAATTTAAAAGCTTTGTAGGCGACATTTCTGTAACATTTAATAACGGCAATCGTAAAACATGTTTTTTAACGCAATTGCGAACGCAATACGGCCTTTCTTTTTGAAATACCGAAAATAAGATTTTGGTGTGATGTCGCTTCCTGGATTTGTATGCTCCCTCGGAAGACTTGGCGGCGCTCGAGCAGAGGATTATCGGCGAGTCGGGGACGAAACCGTTTTTTTTTCCCGCGCCGGCTCCCTTCTATCCCGCCTGCTCGCCTCCTCCTCGCTTCAGGCCGCGGTAGCAACGGCGCTTAGCTTCACAGCGTGGAGCGGAGGTCCGAAAGAAAGTCAAGTCGCAGGAGACCGCAAAATTTGACTCACTGCACTGGCGCGGATCGCGCGGGAACTTCAAATTCTGCATTTGGAAATTGTTTTTTTAATTCAGAAATACTGAATTCCCAAGTTTCAAATTTTGAGGGTAATGTCCAGGCATCGTTTTCAATCGTTTCGGATAGTAAAATAAAATATGATTTTGATGTGTCAGTGCCCCTTAAAGTGAAACGGAGTATGGCAGCTTTTTCGTCGTGGGCAACAAGAAAGCAGAGGTCCGACTCAAGGGGAAGGCAAGGGAGGGGGGGGGGGGGGGGGGAAGAGCCACTCACGTCCTTGAACTGTGGGGGCTCTGCGCCGTCGCCGGGCTTCCTACTTTCCCCCTCGCCCGCGTACAGCACCTGCGCGGAAACCAGGCTCGAGTTGGCAACGCGGCGGGTTCTCGACAAACGTCTTCCCACGAGTAAACGGTTTGGATTAGTTGTCATGCCCTACTTGAGACTTATGCCCTCCTTTATTTAAAGAGGTTGGCCGCCGAGAGCCTGTTACGGATATACAGTGCAATCCACTTATAACAATAATGAGAAATCCTGAAAATTCAATCAATAAAACCGATTATTGTTGCATCAGGACAAGAAACTGATTGTTACTAGTCTAGAAACTCTACAAATTGATCGTTATAGGCAGTACATCGTTATATGTGGTATCGTAATAAGTGGATTGCACTGTTCTGCGAGTCCACGTTATGAGACCTCCGACGCAGAATGTAAAGAAAACGCCAAAGACACTCGTGAGAAAGCTCTGGCAGTCTGCTAGCCCCATGCTGACATCACACTGGCATTATTACAGACAGTATGTTAGTAATTACTGATAGTCTATCGTACTGGTAATGTGCTAGCTAGCACCATCGTGCCAGTGCTGAGTGCACATCACACTACAGCCATACCAACATTTTACCAAAACTACAGTAACAGAGTGGCAGCATTCTCCAGATACGGTGGCCTGTCACCACAACTAGACTGCTATTCATGCTAGCATTAGGGTCATAGAAAAATTAGTGGTTCATTGGTATTTTGTAGGCAATTCAGCGGCATTGTGTTGACCACAGCGTAGCACTCCAAACAATAAATGAGCAACCCACCGTATAATTAATTTTAGTGTAACTTAGCAAAGACCAAACACTACTACACCCTCCAGCAAATAGGAGACATTGAGCAAAGCAATTGACAGCTCATGGCAGGAGTGCACTCTGTCGTTTGCCAAGTTACGGTGAAATGAACCACGGGAAGAAATGGACTTGCCTGAAAGATGCGCGGGATGTCCTTGGCATCTGCGCGGATCACGTCACCCTGCGTCACGCTGCGCACGTGGAACAGCTTGCTCAGGTCTAGCACCAAGACGGGGTCTGCATTGGCTCGGTCCGCCTCGCAGTTGTAGAAGAGGATCTTCCTTGAGCTGACGACCACATACTGCCGCCGCCAACCATGACGCCGGATGTTCTGCTTCTGGGGCAACGAGAGCCAGCCCTCGAGGCGCTGCGGGTTCGTCTCCGAGCCGGGAGGGGCCAGTGATCCGGCGTCCGGTGCCGAGACGGACGTGGCGGCCGCCACCCTCCGCAGGTGTTCCATTTCAGAGTCCTTGGAGTCAAGCTCCATCTGCAGCTTGATCCGCGCCTGGCCTTCTTCGTGGGCTGCCGCCTGCACGGTATGTGCGGAAGGAGTGTCGTCTGCTAAAGGTGCTGTGCCGACATAGCCAAACTATAGTCGCCGATAGAGTGAGAGTGGCAGGGCATGTCTTTCGAACTCCTGGCTCTAGCATGCGCTCCGTGCCTTCCACAGTGCTCTGGCAGCGCGCACTTTCTCTCATGGTGCACCAGACACAGAAGCGATTTCGAAGGAAGAAAGTTTGCGCTGGAGGCAGGACAATTAGAAGCTCATCCCTGCTGTTCTCACTTTGTCTATTACTACATATAGCCTTCCATGATGGTTTCATGCAACTTTCGAATTCCCATGAAAGTTGCATGCAAGCAGAGGGTTCTGAATGGTGTGTGCAACCACGGTGGCTTCAGAGTTCCACGCAACCAGGTCGGTCTGCAAGTTGCGTGCAACTTAAAAGTGTAATCCATTGCCATGCATGAACCAAAAGCAGGTCAAAGGGGCGTGTGCGACCGCTTCGAAGTTCCGCACAACCAGGTGGCACGAATCAACAACCAGGAAAAAGGCGAGACGCTGCCATCGCCGGGCACTCACCTGCAGCTCCGCCAGCTCCTTCTGCAGCCTCGCCACCATCTGAGAGTACTTTTCCCGCTCCTGGGTGAGTTCCTGCTGAAGCTTCCGCACGTCCCTGTCCCTCCTCCGCAGGTCGTTGGTCTTTCCGCCCCCTTTCCCTGCAAGGTCCTTGCGGTTCATGACCTCCGCCAGCTTGTTGACCGCCACCTGCTTGAGCAGCCGCTCCTGGTGCAACTGCTTCTGCAGCTGCTCCTGACGCGCCGCCTCCGCTGCCCGCTCTGCCCGTTCCTGCTCCAGCGCCGACTCGTGCGACGACCTCTCTGACACCAGCTGCTTGTGGAGCTGCTCCAACTCAAGGTCGCGGACCGCGCGGTCTTTCTCCAGTCCGGCCGCAGTGTCCTCGAGCACCGAGCGGTGCAACTCGAGCGAGTCCGCGCGTGCCTGCGCCACCTCGAGCTCCCGGCTGAGCATCTGGCGCTGGTCCTCAAGCTCTTGCGCCATGCGGCTGCGCTCGTCCAGTTCCTCTTTGAGCTCTCGGGCCTGGGTCTTGTACAGGGTCTGGATGGCAGAACATTTCAGAGTGGGATAAACCGTAAGTTGAAGGCGAGCATGTTGGTTGCACGGTGAGCATGCTAAGGGGTGACGCAGAGGTTGAAAACCGAAAAATCTTGAAAAAGTCAATGTTTAGAAAACCACTCGTTTGGGTCGTATATTCCAAACTATACTTCCATTGTAATCATTGGCACCTAATTCACCAAAAAAAATTTAAAAAATATATTTTTGACATTCCGGCGGCTTTAAAACAGTGTTGGACAAAATATTCTATAGAAGTATTTAAGTTGAGTTACTAAATACCTGTTTCATAAAGTATCTAAAATACCTACTCAAGTTACTTTCACTGCAAAGTATCTTGAGTAGAGAACAAATACCTAGAAAAGTATTTCAATTACTTCTGAAGATACTTCCGCATTGCGTAATTTGTATCGACATCAGTGACAAACACAATTATACAGTTGCGCAAATCTGGTTTACCAGAATAGTTTATTAGCACGCAACAACACAAAAAACAAAACAAAAAAAAAAACAAAAAAACATTGTAGGGTTATTTTATGAAGACCAAATATTAGGAGCAGGATATAACTGATACGTGTTACAAAACATTTCTGGGACAAGAAAAAAAAAAACAGGTTGCTTCAGTTTTAGTGACATTGAATATCACGTCCTGCGGCGCACCTTAGACGCATCATTTATTTATTTATTTATTTATATTTCCTATATCAGGAGTTAACTATAAATGAACTTGGAACGCAGAAATTAGTAAATGGATAACCAAGAAAGCCCACATAATAGCCGCAGGACTGGTTTCACCTTCTTCAGGTAGGTTGAGTTCAGAAAGGCACTCAACGTTGGGGGACGCTTCGTTGGCATTTTGAGTGGTCATCCAGCTCTTATTTCATTTCCTGTCCTGTTCTCTGCTTATCAATGTTTGTTTACAGACAGTGTTTGTGAGAGTAATAAGTGCCAGACTGACGACAAAAAACAAAACAAAAAATTGTTCAGCCTTTCCACTCTCGTGAAGGAAGACCAGCGGAGCTGTACTCGATACACTGTGTGCTTCTCAGTCGTCGTCTGTTTTTCGAGCTGTTTCCTAGGATGAATTCCCACCAACGCGCCCAACTATCCATTCTTCTATTATAGCTGGAAAGGTTGCCACCATCTACGAGCGACGGCGGAAACCATACTGGTTGTGTGCTTGCTGCCGTCGCTTATAGATGGCGGTAGCTGTCCAGGTAGGTTTGTGTCGAAAATATTGGACACGATACTATGGAACCTAGCCCTTAACAGCTCCGCTGTAAAAACTCAATGCTTTGCCGTAGCAAAGTTAAATATACAAGGAAAAAGAAGTGCCTTCTTTTTGTGTCCACTTTCCATTTTCTTCTATTTGTTATTTTTGTTACACTGAAGTCTGCAATGTTGTCGTGGGCCACTTCCCGTTCTGTGTTCCGCCTCAGTGTGGCAATCTTTACTTCTGTAAAACCATTCTTTTTTTTGAGGATTTTTGAAGGAACTCTAGGGGACAAAAGGCGCCTTTGGGAATGCGAGGGAAAAACCTTCCTTGCACAAACTTTGGGGTGAAATATGAGTCACAATCGGCAGAAAAGCAATGTTTTCACGATCTCAATCTAAGTCACCATAGCGTAATGAAGCTAGCAACAGGATTTGGTTGCTCGAAAGAATGTTGACATTTGCTCATGCCACGCCCATGCCACTTCAAAGCGAAAAACCCGGAAAATGACGGAATGTCAAAAATGTATTTGAGATAATTAAATACTCTGAAATGTAATTAAAATACAGAGGCAAAAACTCTAGATCAAAAGTATTTGCAAGATACCAAGATACTTTAAAAAGTATTTGAAATACAGTAGCTTGAGTAGAGTACTTGAGATAGGCACAAGTCTGCTTCTAAATCACGCCGAAGGCACAAAAGCGTGCAGGACTAAGAGGTTCCTGCTCCCTTTCACCTTGGCAGACAGCCGCCGTTGTAGTGTTGTTTTGAAGCTGAGCTTTCTTCTTTTTGCCGCCCTCCAAAAACGTTTCCACCGCTTAGTTTTGTCCTGATCGGCGTTTTTCCACCTCGCGATTACGAAGCAGTGATTGGTTAAAGTGTCGCTCGAGGAAGCGGAAACTACTATTAGCCGCAACATTTGTTCTCTTTCCGTTGCCATGGCTTCGTGGCCTCCGGGGCCTCATGTCGTCTGCTTGCTCCCACACTTTGTCAAATCCACTTCGTTTCTTGCCATCTTTACTACAATTGTTTACAGCCGTTTGTTTTAGTAGTTTCACCTACTTTGCTCGAGTGTTTTGTGGCCGCAGGGCATGCTGGGAATAAAGTAAGGGACGGTGCCGAGGGTGCACGCAGTCGACGCACGTCAGAAGTCCATGCAAGCTTCTTTGCATGGCAACCTTTGGAAGCAGCATCGGTGGCCCACCTTTGTGTGGTGGGACACAGATGCTCATCGTGTCACTAGATACTTCAGATTGTGATTCTTTTATCTATGCTATTAACCACCGAAACCAAGCGAAGACAACGGCAGGATAAAAAGACACAAGCACGCTTGCAGCTACTCCGCGGGGTAAGGCCGTTTCACATGGTGTAATCCGGCTCGCGATTTTCCTGATTTTCCGTTGCAATGTTACTCGCTCGAGAAAAAACATGAATAAAAGCAGTGGGCGGTGACATATGCGCGAGCGAACTGTGTCTGCAAGCTCTTTGCCGCCCAAGAATGAAAATCGAAAGCAGAATCGCGCCACATGAAACGGTCTCAATACTGAAATTATGTGTGCCACTTTCAACTGCCATTTTCTCAAAACGCATTTTTCCGTCAGCGTTGGCACTTATCCCAGCAATATCTCGGGAACTGTTTAAAAGACACATGAAAAGGAAAAAAAATTTTTTTTAGACAGCTTAGATGGAAAAAGGATGTCATAAAACAATTTTACAAAGAAGAAAAAAATTTTTTAGAGCTATATTGACGGCGCTATACGATTTTGTAGTTGGCGCTCGCGGGAGCCGCCGCTGGTCACGTGGTAGGCTTGCGCACCACCGCGCTGCGTCGCCGCCGTACGCTGAGCGTTGTGCAAACGCAGCTTCAACGCGTTTCTCCACGCCACCGCCGCCGCACAAGTTTGTCTGCTTCGGGGCACCGCCGCCGCCGTCGTCTGACCGGCGCACAGGTCTATCACGTCTGCTTGCGCTTTTTCAAGAGTTTCCTTTGGGCTCTAAAAGTTACTTATTCATCTTAGTTTTTTGTTATACTTCATACAAAGATGAATAAGCTACTTTTAGGGGCCATAGGAAGCTTCCGAAAGAGCGCAAGCACCACGTGACAAATATGGGCCCGTCACGTGATAAACAAGGGCCACCTTTCCGCGGCGCCCGCTGGCGCCAACTACAAATTCGTATAGCGCCGTCAATATAGCTTTAAAAATTTTTTTCTTGGTTGTAAAATCGTTTTATGACATCCTTTTTCCATCTAAGCTGTTTAAAAAAGAATTATTTTTCCTTTGCATGTGTCCTTTAAGGAATTCGCATGCAGTTTTTCTTATTCTATTCCTAAATACCTTTGTGAAAGCATGACAGGCTTCCCTTTTTTCTTTAAATTGTGTTAGAAATTTATTTATCCATCAAATTTATAAATTAAATGTGATGGATGAGGATATGACCAACATAAAATTTAATGTTGTACAGAAAGTTTTCTGAAAGGAGGTTAATATAAAGGGCTCTTTGCCTATCTAGAAATGCTTATAATAAATTTCACATTCCCACTATGTCTTACTAATTTCTCCAGGCCTGGGATAAAAAGAGCGAGTGAACCATACAGAAAAAAAAAGTGCAACTTAAGGACCCATGGGCACAGCTTTATGAAACTTAGCAGTTAGTACATATATGTGCTGTGAATGTACCCTGAAGATATAAAACAGATAGCTCTAAAAATAAAGTTTAGGTTTGATGCCAGCTTCCCTTTTTAACTGTGATTAAGACTGGCTCCTACACTTGAATTCGCTTATGACAGGGTTCTTGTAAACTCTTGCGACGAGAGAACACACTGGCCGTCTGACACCATCTATGAGGTGGCCCTGCAACTGCATTTCACTCGAGCGAAGGTTTTTCAGTATTACCGAGATCAAGTGTATGTACCGTCAATGAGAAATGGTAGTTTATAACATCGTCAAAAGCTTAAAAAATGGATGAGAAAAAAAAAGTAGGAAATACCTACAGGGTAATTTCAAGTGTTCCACAGCTACCTAACAGATGGTGTCAGCGTGTCAAATTTGGGGGTTTTACATGCTAAACCAACGAAGGAGGACTGAGGAAAAATTTCAAACACCCGGGGACTTTTTGACATGCAACCAAAATCTGTTACGTGGAGCCTTCTCCGCAATAAGCCTTCGTCAGACTGCGGGCACCTCGGTCAGCATTCGAAACTGACATTTGGGGAATCCATAGGCTGGCGCTATGCTTTGGAGCCAGCTAGGTGCTCGAGGTGCGATTCTGTTTGCAATTCCCCGTGTTTATACTTTCAGCAACGCCCGTGCCTTAAAAGTCCCAAATATCGGCGGAGAGCAACAGGCTCTAACTAAGCGAGAGATAGGTCCAAATGAAACAGTGCCCGAAAGGATAAGAGAGAAGGTAACTTGCCGAAAAGTACTGCTCCGCTTCAAGTTGATCTTGGAGCTCCTTCATCTGCAAGTCATCCACATTCTTGGACCTGCAACAAAAAGCGAAGCGTTCAAAGAATGACAAACGACCGTCCAGGAACTTTGGTCAACAACAGACGTGGCAAATTTGACACATCATGAGCACTACATCCAAGAGGGTCTAGCGGCACGAGGTCGCGGCAAGATGCTTAAGGACTCTAGGGATCATTGAGCTAGGAAAGTTCAGGGCTCGGGAAATAGGGAATAGGGGAGGGAGAAGTACAAGGGTGGAGGGTGGGACAAGGGTGTGGATGGGCGGGAATAAAAGTAACCATACGCCTAACAACTTGCGTGAAGTGAGCAATGTCTAAAACTAACACGTCCCAAAAACTACCTGAAATTCACCTAGAAGCACACCCAATATGAAATGGATTGGGTTCAAGTCAAATTTGAGGGTTTTACGTGCCAAACGAGCAGAGGGCGTCGGAACGCCCCAGCGGAGGACTTTGGGTTAATTTCGACCACTGGGGACGTTTTGACGTGCAACCGAAAGCTCCGTTACATGGCACCTTCTCTGCAATCAGCTTTCTTTGGATTGTAGGCACCTGGGCTGAGATTCAAACCTGCCATTTGTAGATTTATAGAACAGTTACTCAGCTCGGGACCACTCAGGTGGTCACTGGATTGGGTTTAGTGGTTGTTGCTTACTCCTTATAACCCAAAAGCAAACCTGACCGAGAGAAATCTAATGTAAAACAAAGGAATCTGAAAGACATGAAAACAGCCGCTTCAGAAGCCCCAGTTCAGTGATCACAACGAAGAGGCTCCAGAACAACGAGGAGTTCGTAGGCGCGCCAAACTCTCGCATTGCAAATGTGCCGCAAAGAGAGAGCGCCATCCCCTTACGCGTTCAGCCTCGCCAGCTCCTCTTGCGCTGCCTGGTGCGCCGTCCTGAGTTCCGTGAGCGCCGCCTGCGTCTGCTTCTCCCGCGCCGCCAGCCGCGCCACCTCCTGCGCCTGCAGCGCCGCCTGCTGGGCCAGTTGCCCTCTCCGGCGGCCCTCCTCGTCGAGCTGCGCCTGCAGCGCCTGAGCCTTCTCCGCCTCCTGCCGCTGCTCGCCCTGCAGCCGCTGAAGCTGGGCCTGCAGCTGCCGGTAGTCCACCGCTAGCATCGACATCTGGCGCTCCCGGTCCTGCGCCAGCGCGTCTGCCTGCTGGCGCGCCGCCCGCTCCTCCGCCAGCTTCGCCGCCAGTGCCTCCGCGCCCTCCCCGCCGGAGCGCTTGTCCAGCCGCTGGCCCTGCTGGCCGAGCTCGCGGTCCAGCCGGTTTTGCGCGTTCCGTAGCTCCAGCTCCAAGACCGCCCGCTGCTTCTCCTGCTCAAGGACCCGTCCCGCGAGCCTGTGCGCCTCCTCCTGCGCGTGGGCCTCGCGCTCGCGCAACCGCTCCAGCTCCAGTTGGAGTGCCTGCCGTCTGCTCTCGAGGTCTTGCCCCCGGACCGCCCAGCTCGACTTCTCCTGCTCGAGCTGGATCTGGAGGTTCGAGAGGTCGCGCTCCTGTGAGCCCAGCTGTCCGCGCAACGCGCCGACCGCCTCCTGCAGCTCCTGGCAGGCGCGTTCGCGTGCCGCGACTGTCAGCGAGAGCTCCGCGTTGGCCTTCTTGAGCTTGACCACTGCGTCGCCCTCCTGCTTGAGCTTGTCGTTGAGCTCCCAGAGCTGCTTCTCGAGGCCCGAGGCCTTTTCCGAGGACGCCTGGGAAGCCGCAACCAGCTGGGCGCGTGAGGACTGCTCGCATTCCAGCTTGGACCACAGCTCCTGGACCTTGAGCTCCAGTTTTCGGCGGTTGTCGCACTCGTTCTCGTACTTGCGCTGGCTCTGCAAAGAGGCCGTGGGAAGAATACAACCGGGCTCGGTTATGCGATGATTCCACTGCCATTAGAAGTATTAAAGTGTGAAATGCTTTTTAACAAAACCCCCGATCTTAACACTTTGTCCGTCCATCCGTCTGTGCCTTTCCCGCTAAATTTAGCGGGTTACTGGCTTTTCCTGCCCCACACACCGATTCAGTTGCCCCGCTAAATTTGGCGGGAAAACTGATACAGCAAAACCTCGTTATAACAAAGTTGAAGGAGCGGTCGTAATTATTTCGTTATAACCATTAGTTTGTTATAGCCAATGTCCATTTCTTCCCACTATAAGCAAGCAAAGGGAATTATGATTGCTTTGTTATATCCATTAGTTTGTTATACCCCATTTTGTTATAACGAGGTTTTACTGTATTACGCGACCCGACGTCACATGACCTATTACACAAATTGATTTTCCAGCTAAATTTTTCGGGAACATTGATATTGCGTGACCTTTGCACCAAGTCAGTTCCCCATTTGAATTTAGGGGGAAAATTAATAAAAAATAGGTTCTTCACCTCCCAAACAACCATTTAAAATTTGTTGTAAACAAATTTAAATGGTCGCTCCTGAAATACTGCATTTCGTGCATTTCAGTACTTTAAAAATAAAGGTTTTCCCTGCTAATGCGTATAACTTGCTGTCCATAAAGTAACTTCAGTAATATAGTGTGCATGCTGAAGTGTTCTAGTCAAGCGTTCACTTTAGCATTAGTTTGACAATATTCCGTGTAGAGTGGCAACTTTACTAGAAATTATAAAGTTCCATAAGTTCTGAATCCACAACCCGACTGCACCTTACAGAGTTTCGCAATACCGGAGAAACGCAAGCCACCGAAAACCACGATTACAAGTTACACAGGTCAGCGGCTTACTCGACAAAGCTCCACTCCCAGATAAAAAAGATTTATACATACACGTGGCATTTCCCTCGTATCCAGCAGCACAGCTTCCAAACAAGTTAAAAAATAACCACATCTCCACGTGGTGAATGATGTTGATTGGGGCGAAGCTCGGGTGGTGCTGACACTGATTTTGGTCATAGGTAGTGCTGATGGTGCCGTTTTCATTCATGTCAGTAGGAGAATGTGTGGTTTTCTTCTTTTTCTTTTTTTAAGAAGACAGATGAGATGGCAACTCAGAACCCCCTACTCTTTTTTTTTCTTCTTTTTCTTGATACTGATTTTGGTCATAGGTAGTGCTGATGGTGCCATTTTCATTCATGTCAGTAGAAGAATGTGTGGTTCTCTTCTTTTTCTTTTTTTAAGACAGATGGGATGGCCTCTCAGAGCCCCCTATTATTTTTTTATTTTTATTATTTTTTTTTTTTCCTTTTTTTCTCTTGTTTTCGCTGCTGAACTCACGAGCGGGGGCACGCCGGACGGCAGATGGACATGGCTAGCCCCTAAGAAGCTTCGCCCCTAAAAAAAAAAATTTCTGCGATACGCACGCACAGCGGCTTACCTCTTTGGATTCGTGGGAGAGCAGCGTGATCTTCTTGTTCAGTTCCCTGTTGTCCGAAGCCAGCACGGACACTTGTTCGGTCTGCTGCGAGAGGCTCTCCAACTGCTTCAGCGTCAGCCTGCAAGGGCCCACTCCCAGAGTCTGAACCCTGCCCACCAAAATCCAAGCTCGTGGCCCAAATAACCAAACTGGTAACAGCACTGCCGGCCATGGAGCAATCGGCACTACCGACGGACGTAGAGCATGACGCTGCGGGATTGATTTCCTTTTTCGTCGTCTTTTGTTGCTGAACAATAGGTATAACTTCAAGTGTGTTTTGTCACGCCACATGCGAAGAACTCTGACGCTGACTATAGTCATTCGCAGATGAAGAAACAGGCGGAGTGATAAGCCCCGAGCATATTATCACTTCACAGTCAATGAGATAGCAGTATCAGTATATGAACGCCCGAGAACCTATCTCGAAGCAAGATGCGCGATCACCTTAGGCCAGACCTTGCGTTCCTTACGCCATCGGCAACCGTAGATGAATAATGACACGACGGTTTGGATAATACTTGCTCTAATTTTGGGACTTCTAAAAATCTGCAAGCAAGCTTTGAGAAATCTCAACGAACGAATAGCATCGAGGAGAAGCCGCCTCAAAATCGCGAGTCTCTTCGAACTCGAAATCGGCGGCGTCTGTCAATGGGCAAGATGATCAACAATCCTGCCCGTCGGTGCAAAGCGAGTGCCAAGGTCTCAGACCGTCGAAGTCGACGTGCTTGCATTTTGACTGCCAAGTTCTGGTAAACCTTTGTACGCAACTGTCGTTTCCGGGCTCCAAAAAGGTCGAGGAGTACCTACCTGTATTTTTGTTCAACCTCTTCCTTGGCACCCCTAAGTTTGACCACCTCTTCCTGAAGTACATCCGCCTTTGGACCGCTCATCTGTTGGCAAGGAGAACGACTATTCAACGTCCCACATTTTAAACGAGCAATCCGAGCCAAAGAAATACGCTAAATGAAGCATAGCTAAAGCAAAGCTCGAAAGCCTGTAGAAAAAAAACTTTCAGCCTTTCCACTCTGGTGAAGAAGGAAGACCAGCAGAGGTGTACAATGGAAAGTGATAGCCGGCCGCAAGTCGGCAAGCAAGAGTGGAAAGGCTGCCGCCATCTATGAGCGACGGCTGCAACCAGATACGTGGCTTGCCGCCGTCGCTCATAGATGGCGGTAGGTGTCCAGAGTTCAGGGTCTTCATTTCTTTGCGGGGGACACGATCCTGGTGAAACTAGCCCTTAACAGCTCCGCTGTAAAGAAAAGCTTGAAAACAGCAAGTTTAAAAAGTAGTTTTCTTAGCCAGAGAAATAATAATGTAGGATGAAATAGGTTATCTGTGCCAATACATTCCCATAAACAACTGGAAGAGTATGTTCCTCCAATAAACGCTAAAAAGAGTAATCCATTTTGAGTGTGCTCGTTTGTGTGCCTGTAGCTTAACCATCATTTCACTCAGACTGCAAAAATTAAATCTGTTTATGAATCTTAAATTTAATGTTTCCAATACTAGTCTAGATATCATGTTCTCTTTGTAAATCTGCAACCATCGCAGTCTCGCAGTAAAACAATATTGTGCTGGGCTAGATAAAACACAAGATCAATTTACGCCAAAGACGTTTTCCAAATATCACGTCTTTCACATCCTTGCCCTCCCCAATTTTTTAACCCAAGTTATTACACTAGTAATACTATCCCTTCACGAGAAAGATATAAGAAGACCATCGCCCACCACGCAAGCTAAAACCGAAACGGAGAAACTCAAGACAGGCGAGGATGTTTTTAAAGCATGTACTCCAACAGTATTGGCATCCTGAGCGCTGTCGCCATCAACCGACACACTCTGTTACAAACATCCCGTGCGGCACCTCGTGCTCAGGGCTACTCAGAGTCGTGTTAAGGAAGCCAAGCGGCCACACACCTTATCAGGCTGCAGCAACAGCACAGGCACACCAAGTCCACAGCAGGAGAGAAGGCAAAGCAGGCAGCGTGCAACAAAAACAGCATCACCGTACCGAAGTTCAACAAGTTATAAATCTCCACAAAATTTTAAAAAATCAACATCACATGACATCACGAGATGTCGATTTCCCAGCTAAATTTAGCGGGCAAATCAACATCGCGTCTTGAGGTCCAATAACGCGGACAATGTTACGTCCACTTAACTGCTAAATTTGGTAAAAAAACTGATGTTGTGTGACTTCCATTTTCACGCTCATTTTAGTGTGAAAATTAACCCTACGGTTCTTCATGACGCTCCTTTATAAAGGTCCTTCACAATGGTGATGGTTTTCTCACGAAGTTCGACTGATAAAACACATTTTGTGTTAGAAAACACACAATGTGGAAGGTCTTTCATACGCGGCAGGAGATCGGAGGCCGAGTGGGCTAGGTTCAATCCCCACCCCTACCCGTTTCGATCTGGATGAGTATTGTATCAACGTGTGGTCGTGTATCATTACTGTACGATGCACGTTAAAGTCCCCCGGCTAGCGGTTGTACTGCACTGTCTAAATTTAGCATCTACAGCTGGGAGACAAGTTGGTTATTGAGACAGACTAAGTTCTAAGCCATATAAACATACACACACCCCAATTTTCGTTGCTATCACACATTCAAAAACCTTAGGAAAAAGTTATTGTGTTATGGCATGAACCATGGAAGTGGAGGTTACTCAGCAAGCCGAGTATACTTCACTTTAAACAATTTCACCAGCCACTTCCAAAGGTCAGTCACTGGTAGTCCATCCAAACATTCTTTGAAGATCATATAGAGCCCAGCAATCAAATATTACCTAGTCATCACACGTGTTAGCATACCGACAATCAAAATGAAACCTGATGGCTGAGGCATGCAACAGATCACTACGCTGATATTGTGGCAAGGCGTTGAGATACCGAGATCTCATTTATTTTCGTTCGGACAAACTCTCCTGCAACACCAAAGATAACCGACGCTATTTATTAAGGGTGCGCGGATACCCGCTTCAAATCGAATAGCGCGTCGTCACCCCTGGTTTCGACGATGCAAAGAGAACCAGTGCTTCGAAGGTTTGTTTAGCACCGTAAAGGCTATCAACCGTGCGGCGCTAGGTGATCTGAACCCCTGTCGGCACACCCCTAGTATGTACGGCAGCTAAAAGATAAGTGATAAACAGCTCATTCGACAGAGCATGCGAGCAAATCTAGTAATTTCGCTTTGTTCCCCACACACACCACACCGCATTACGTAGATCTCGTCGCGACTATATCGCATCGCCCCATTTGCGCCGGGCGAGCCGTGCAGTTCGGACGAGCGTGTTTGGCAGACGCCACGATTTCAGCTTCCGTGGGGCACGCTCGACGCGCCAACGACGACGACCGGCTACTGCCGCTGTCGACGGCCGAGCAAACAACGGCGTACCTCGTCAAAGCCGTCCAGACCCTGCACACTGCAGCCCGAGAGGAGCGAATAGTCGCCCGAGTAAGTGAAGCCGACGAACGGGAGGTGGTTCCCGGCAAACGCCTTGGGCTCGGGGAAGTTCTCCTCGGGCGTTTCGTCCTGCTCCACGTCGTCGAAGTTGCTGGCATCGTCGTCTCCGCTCAGCTCTGGCGAGACGGGTGGCGCCGCTGTGTGGAAAGCCGGCTGAACATTACTCCCAGACGGAACGTTACAGGGACTTGTTCCATCAAGCGTGGCTCTAACCCGTGCCAATCACTGTTTTTCATTATCAAATAAGTCAGATTTATTTGATTTAAATCGCCGTAGCTAATAAACAGCGAATCCTACCACCATGATCGTTTTCACCTTAAGAAAAAAAGGGAAGTTTTGTACACTGTATGTACGCCCAGCGAAGTTCTCGCAGTGCTTGGTTGTCGGAGGAAGGAATGATGCTTTTGGCATTTGAAACGTGTGTGTCTTGATAAGATGACTTATCTAATTTGAAATGCACCTACACATACATATCTTAATTCTCTACATAAAGGGGGAAATTAGTAATTCTCCGAGAGAAGCCATACCTTTTTTACTGCGGTTCTTGAGGTGAAAATGAGTATTCGCCTCGAGATCGAACCGTGTCGCCACCGTGCGGCCGAAATTGGAAACGCGCGAAAGCGGGGATGCCGCCGTGCGTCGTCTGCTACGGACGCACGCTCAGAAGCGTGGATCTCGCGACGCAAGCCCGTTTCAGGCTGAGCTTGACATTCCTTATTAAACGTTTTATGTTTTTGTTGCCGTTTCTTCTTACTAAAGGTTGTGTTGTCTCATTTCCCATGCGTAAAAATTCAGCAACGCGATTATTATTGAGTCGGAAGCTTCCATAATCTTAGTGTGTTGGTTTGTATACAATCGCTGGCTCCACGTATTTTTGTTATCTCGCACAGACCGTGGCTTTCATAAAGCATTGAATGTTTAGTAGGTCTGTGGTTTGATTAGAAAATTAACCCGACTGATCGCTAATCAATCAATAAATTCATATGTCGATTTTTCGCCGGTCATATTAAGTGAAAGACGTTAAAACTTCAAATTTTTTTACTGGTTTTACTATGTCATAAATGGCATATTGCATTCCCATTTTAAACTTCACATTGTGAGTCCCACATAAATATGAACACGGGAAGCCTTTTAAAATGAAGTATTTTTATGTTATTATTTAAACAGTATAATCACCCTCGGTGAAATGACAAGCACGCTGAAGTAGTTTACCGTGCAAGCCTGCTTCACAAAAGAAACAAAGATGTCAAAAATATTAAAGCAGGCATCTTTTACTCCTTGTTGACTTTCTCCAGCACAAGACTCCAATTAACCGGCAAAAAGAATTGCAATTAAAGCATTACTTGAATAATCTGAAAGTTGATTGATGAACTGCCCAGTCCCGATATATGTTAGGTGAGGGCGGAGGGTGATCGGAAAGTCTCGTGAAGGTCGCTAGCTCTCATCAGTAAAAGAGTATCACTGCGGCCGATGCTGTCTGTGTCGTGGTGCGCGTCGTTTGTTGGGGTTGCAGAGTCTACTGTGTTTGAATACAAGATTATTTAGCCTCTTGATATCCGCGGCCCTCACCAAGAAAATTGAAGCGGGTGAACCGACAGTGTAACCTGCGTTGCTCGGTTACACTCGTTTATTACAGTCACGGCAGATATATTAGAACAGCTTCTTTCACTTGTTTCAGTTGTCCTGCCAACCGTGCAGTTTGCAGATCTTAACTAGAAGAGACACACTCATCGCAAAGCAGTAGATTTGTTCAGACTTCAAAAAACTTACCCACTCTATGGCACTGTAAACGGGCAGAGGAACTCAATAGCATGGTAATTTCCAATACAGCGCTAACGTATCTTCATTCTAAATATTTATATTACTACAAAAGCTAGAAGTTAAAAAAAACAAAAAAAACATAGAAGCTGCGATTTCACAGCCTACAGTACCAGTATTATGTTATCTGGGTTGGAATTTATTGTTTTTTTTTTGTTTTGTTTTTTTAATTCCCACGTTGATGAACCAATACATCCATTTTAAAAGAAACAAATATTTAACATAAATATTCCAGTTCAGCCGGAGACAAGCATCAGTCGTGGTGATCCATGCTTTCCAACGTCTGCCTAGAGCAGACGACGCACCCACAGAAGCGATTACATAAAGTTAGACCGCACGCTGGCAACACGATTTGATCTCCACTGAAGCACCGAACAGTACCGCATCCTTTTCCTTTAGAATTGTTTTCCCACCGATTGTATGCGACAAAATAAACGCAACAATCTATGCTGTCTCGCGCGTGAACGTGGAGAGCCTATGGGGCGGCCGTTCTCCTATCCCCGCTTTGATGATGATGATAGCGCGACTGTAACGCCACCTCTAGGTCGATCTCGTGGCCAATAGATGTACTTTTTAAACATGGCAGATTGACTGAACAATTTGTTCTATCACTGATAACAATGCGGAAGAATGAATTAGTGTAAATGTTAAGTACAGTTTAATTAACAACTTTTATCGCTCTCATCTCCACAAGAAGAGCTTGATACTTTTAGTTAAACCCTTTTTAAAAAATTTTCTTTCAAGTTCTGACTTTACTGTAACAGGAAATTACTTTTTCAGTTTTCGTTTCTTTCGCTTACGTTTTGATTTTGTTGCAATAGGATGCTACATAGCTGATGATTGAAGGGGAACAGAAGAAATCCAGCTCAACACTCCGAGTTGCTCAAGAGAGCAATTCTTTTTGCTCGTGCTCAGTCTTATATGAATCTCTCTCGGTTTATGTTTCTTTGCTCTAAATACATGTGAAATGCACATAGCATCAAATGACAGGCAAACAACAAATCAAAATATTTTTTATTGTTTTTGCGGGAAAAGTTGATTAAAATTATCATAGTAAACTTACGGTAATCAGACTTAAATCACAATATAAATCATAATTTAAATCATTGATTTCTATTTTTTAACCTGCCCCCAGGGGCTCCCCCAAGTGCCCAAACTTTCTTAATCGTCCCTGCCCTTAGTGTTCTTTGAATTAAGGACTATTTTTGAAGATTTCATCCATCTATTGATGCATGACTTAAGTGCCAAACAGTCCCAAGCATTGCATTAAAGGTTACAAATCTGTACAGGCCTCTGCACCATTTCACTTCAACATTGCTAAGACCAGAAGGGAAAAGAGAAAGAGAGAGAGAAAAAAAGATTTTGAGGGGAAGGGGGGGGGGGGGGGGGCCTTGAGACCAAAAAGTTTTAGAACCCCTGCTTTAGATAACGAAGGGTCCCGACTGAAGGCACATTGTTTGGTTTCCCAAAAAGCGTTCTACGGAAAAAAGACGTACATAATTCTGCTGGGCAGGAGTAGATGAAATGAAAAGCAACTCTGGCATAGCAGTTTATTTGGTTTGTGGGCCTGCAGGCTCGTAGCATTCAGGCTCACTTAAACCGGTGGCGCCGAAAGCACAAAGAAACAGACCAGATGCTTTGTGTGTGAAGAGTACAAAGACAACAAAAGATAACCCCACCCCAAAATCCCCGATCGGCACGTAAACATGATGTTCAGAAAGGCCGTTAGAAAAAGGTTGAGTGTACGGTTCCCAATACTACTAACTATTCGTAATAGACATGAATGGTGAATAGTTAAACAAAAAAACCGGTGGCCCCGTCTCAAAATCTGCAAAAGAATTAATTTCGAAGCCGATTCTTTTGCACTGGCATCCCGCTCTAGTTAACAAGGAAGCCTGCATATATCGGGCACACCATGAACGAGTCAAATTCAAAGGAGCTTACCGTCACGAATGTTCTCGAAGGTCCACTGATCGTTTTGAAAGAACGGGTGAGCCTTGATCTCCTGGACACCGTTCCTGCCCAGCCTCACTGTCCTGGAGACGGAAACAAGCCGTGGAAGCCACAAATGCTATGCTACACGCTTGACCCATGAAGCCTAATAATACAATTATTCTAACAATCAGGGCAGAGAAAGCATGCAAGAATCAACATCCCATATACATTTTTTTTTTTGCTTTTAACTTTTTCAAGAGCCTACAAAGCACACCTTTCCATTTGTCACTTAGACATGCCCCATCACCATGTCCCGGAGTAGAAGCGGATATAACTCTAATTATTTTTACGTAGGTTGTGAAAACTACGACCACAGAAAAATTATAAGAATCTCAAAGAACTTCATTCAGCTAAGAGACATACAAAAGATGGGCAAACAAAAAGTCTCTTCTATGGATTACAAAGCCAACAAATAATGACCACACAACCACCTAAAGCTTAAAAGTGTAACAGGCTTATTAAGAAAGCGGAAAGATAAAAATAAAGATGTGCAATGTTGACACGTCCACTGCAACCGTTTCAACGAATGGTAACATGGACTTGTCGCTAGAGTTCAACTTTATCCAGTGAAAGAATTTCTACATCAAGTCTTTCCTCGCTATCTGCTGCTACAGTAAAAATGTCAACGATGAGTCGCAGGTTCAAGACTGTACAAAACTTTAAAAGTTCTAGGAGGAAAGGATGAGTGAGGGAGAAATTACCTGTACAGTGCATGTGTGGGCGACACCCTGCCACTCTTGATTTTTAAGCATGGAATGGATACAAAATAAGCCATACAGGCTATCTAACTGAAAGCACTAGTCCTTATAAATTGCATTAAAAAATGATTGATTGGGTGAGTGATTGGTTGGTTAATCAACTGACTGGATAATTGCTCGATTAACCTGTCAATTAGCTAAACAATTGATTCATTGATCAATTGATTGGCTGACTAATTGTTTGACTGATTGATAGGCTGGCTGATTTATTCCCGGACGTACTGGTCAACTAATTTCTTCACCAATTGTCCGACACTGACTGATTGGCAGGGTGTTGAACTGAACCCAAACCGAAAACCAGAGCAAAACCATTCTTTTTGACCGAAACGGAACAAAACCGTAACCAATATCTAGCATTTAAGCGAACCCAAACAGGAACGGAACCAATTTCGTGTGGCGGCCACCGGTTCATTGGAAAACGTTGCAGCAGAATAAAATGTAAGCCACACCCTCTTGCCGGTGATGGTGCCAACAACGCAATTGTGACTAAAAAGAAAAAAATTCACATCTTTGTGCATTGGAGTTGGCATGGAGGCATGCACTTCTATACATACTTTGTTTCACCTTACAATGGAACGCAAAGGACGCTACGAGCCACTGGAGCGAATCCATATGGATTGGCACGGTTAACTCGTAGCGTCCATCGTAGAACATTGCAAGGTGAAACATAATCTGACTGTGCTAAGAGGCTAAAGAGCTATTCTTTTTGTGAGTCTGTAACTGTGTGTTTCTTTTCTTTCTGCCAAGCAACATTCCTCAAGAGGAGAAAAAGCAAACAAATATCAAAATAAAAACAATAAGTCAATGGCAGTCAGGGTGTTTGTTCTGTGGTAGCGAAATCAGGAGGCGCCATGAGGCAAAGCTCCGACGGCTGCCACCAACACTGCGGCGCCAGTCGCCAGGACGCCCATTGCCCAGAGCAGCCCAGAGCCCTTAGAAAGCTGCCCAAAACATTTTGTATTATTGAGTGTGCGCGGTTGAATGTATATATGTGTTTTTGTCTCTCCAAAAGCAGAGTGTTGCCAATTCTTTTTCAATCTCCTTTTTTTTTTTTACTTTTTTAGAATGCCCTTCACTGTCATGATCTGCTTGAACTCAATCATTCCAACAAGGCGTTCGGGCGTGCTGGGTGGGTATTTCACGAGTAGGGTGTGTCCTAACGTACGGGGTCGCTGCGTGTGCCAACTGATTGGCTTCCCATGCAAGTACATTGCTTTGGTACTGTTTTTGGGTGCCTGTATTATCACTTAATTTGTGTCAAACGGTGTTCACAATAAAAAGTCAAATTCGCAATACAAAATTACATATTTTTGTTTTGCTGCCTTCGTCTCTGCAAAAAGGTTTCTGATAACCTTTTTTTTTTCTTTTAATGCAAATGACATTGTTTTGAACACACTTTTTCTTAACGATGGGGAGCTGTGGACTTTTTAAGAACCGGTTCACACAAGGCTAAATTGGTAACCAAACAGTTATTTTGAATTTAACACTGAACCGGAACCGAATCAGAACAAAATGCAAAGCCACAAACCCGAACCCGAACCAAACCGAAATATTGACCGGTTCAACTCCCTGCTGATTGCTTGATTGACTAATAACTTTACCAATTGATTGGGTGACTGATTGGTGGTTTAAATGGTCAAATGACTCTCTAAATGGCCGATTGATTCATCAATTCAGTGACTAATCGACTAAACAGTTGATTGATTTATCGATGAAGTAACTAGCTCCATGACCGACTGATCGGCCGAACGACCAATCGATTTACTGACATACCAAGCGACTAATCGCTTTGCTGACGGATCAGTTGACTGACCGATTGATTTAATAACATAGCGATCAACAAATTGATTGGCTGACACACCTGTCACTGAGAAAGGAGCAGATGAGGTGGCGGGCGTCACGTGAGACCTCCACGTCCTCAGGGAAGCTGAGGGAGTTGGCGTGGTCCATGATCTTCCCGTAGGTGCCCACGAGGGAGTCGGCGTAGAAGGGGGTGTCCCCCACCAGCATCTCGTAGAGGAACACCCCCACGCTCCACCAGTCACACTCCCGGCCGTAGCAGCCCTCGCCCCCCTGGCTCTTGAGCACCTCGGGCGAGATGTAGTCCGGGGTGCCCACTGCCGTGTCCGACCGCACCAGGCCATCCTACGCACGACGGTCCCTCATTCCTACTGCAACAACCTCACATACCGTGTACGATTACAAAGACAAGAGTACGGAAGGACCATGTAACTTGACTAAATCGGAAACACAAATGGATGGAGCAGCATTTGACACTACTCGGAGAGCCTCAACTCTTGCCATCGTCATGCTCTGTTTGCACTGGCACTGCATTGCATCACAACATTACAGCGAAGGAAACTTGTGGCGTGCTCGTAACGTGGGAACCTGCTACAAACTTGCCTGTCACAGGAACCGATATTGCGCGCGCAGGTTACAGACAAAAACGTGCGAATCCGCAACGAACTCCTATGTCACGGGAACGAATACCGCAAATCGCGGATGCAGCAGAATCGCATTTCACAATGCAATATACACGCGGGATCAACTCGCGTGTTACGGGAATCAATATCGCGCGTGCAAATCACAGACAAAAATGTCGGAATGTGCCACAAACTCTAGTGTCGAAGGAATGGATACCGCAGATTCGCATTTCAGGATGCAATAAACATGCTGGAACAACTCGCGTGTCAAGGGAGCCGCTATCCTGCACGCAGATCACGGACTAAAATGAAGGAACCTGCTATGAACTCGCTTATCAGACGTACTAGTGCAGACGTACCTGTATCGTATCATTCGACGGGAATCGGAGGGTGGGCAAAATTTCGGAATTTTTATGTCACGGGACAGATATTTAGCCAGAAAAACGGGATGGGTGATTTCTCGGTGGCGGGCATTATCTCGGAACTAGGCGTGCTGCTAAACAAACTAAGACTGAAGACCGGCGACTCACAATTGCATAAGAGGAACTCTGTGTTGTATATCTAAATGTTTGCGATGCTAGAACATTTCACATGTGCAACAAAACTGCCTAGAGATTTGACGTACAATTTTCTTGCTTTATTTTGTATATAGAATTTTCGCTAAATCAAACTATTTCACAATCTTCGCGCTGTCCAATATATGCGGGCTTGACTGCATATGCAAACAGCCATTCCTGGGATTGAATCAAATAGTCGTGATGCTCAAACGTTTTGGGCTGCGTCAAGGTTATAGGAACCGGGCGGATTTCATTCAAGCCCCGACCAGGGCGCCCCAAGCGGCAAACGGGTCCGTTGCATCGGGGAGCTTCTGCCAGTCGCTGTGTTGGTTGTGTGTTGTCGCGGGTTAGCGCTGTAATTTCTGAGATGGCTATTCTGCACTAAGAAAGCCACAACAATTGCTGCATGGTCGACTGCAACAGCATGTAAAAGAGCGCGCACGGCACAAAGTTCTATGGCGTCCTTTCGAAGCTGTACGAGGCGGAGTGCCGCGCGACCTGGGTGAGACTTCTGTGTCGATGCAGGTAAGTGGCATTTCTTACCTTGCAGTTCACATTTTGCTTTAAAATAATAGAATTAACTTTTTTCTAGCGACGATGGAACAGCATGGACACCAACGGCAAACTTTAAAATATGCAGCAAATACTTCACAGGGATCGAGAAGCGGAATGCGGTCGCCCAGCCTTAGATGTTTCCATCAGCCTGCACGAAGATAGTAGCGGGAATCGCGGAACAGCACGAAAACAATCGCCCAGTTATTGTCAAGCTCATTAAGAAAGTAAAAAATTTACATAATTAGCGCAGTCGAGTTAACACCAACAAAGAAAGCTCTCTTATCTAACTATGTGAAACTCTAAGCCTTTCTGCGGGCACGCTCAATTTCGTCTGCGGAGTACAGCGCGCCATGACATCTACTTGTCCGTTGAAACAGACCTCCTTCATGTCGCACACGTGGCCAGATTCATGAGACTTTTCCCTTCGTCATAATGGACCCACGGAAGAAGCTTTCTGGATTCATAACCGCCTTAAACCCCGCCGTAATCACCACGGGAATGCTGTCCGTTGTGCTGCTCGTCACCATTGCTTGTCCCCGATGAATCTGCGCCAACTACTGAAGAAGCTTCTCGGATTCGTGACTGCCTTAAACCCTGACGGGGACACTGTCCGCTATGCTGTTCGTCGCCATTACTTCCCAATGCTTCTGCACCAGCGGCACCGGCTACCAAAGAAACTTTCCGAATTTGTAACTGCCTTAAATTCCGTCATAACCATGATGGGGACACTGTCCGCTGTGCTGTCTGTTGCCATTGCTTTCAGATGATTTTGCGCCAGCTACCGCTAGGCGGTAACGAGAACAATAGGCGACCGCCGCGACGCAGCTGGCTCGCTCGCTACCTTTTTATAGCGTATTGGGACATGGGATTAAGAATCCAAACTTCAGCAACAACTCACAGTGTCCATCCGCATGCAGGTGCCGAAGTCTGCCAGCTTTAGGTGACCCCTTGCATCGAGCAACATGTTGTCTGGCTTCACATCCCTAGAAAAATGTCGCAAAAAAAATAAAAGCAACAGGTTTAGTTCAACCACTTTTGTGCACCTAATGTGAACATTTTTTTGGCTATGGAAGCTCAATGGTACTCTTTTATTACGAGTTTTCTGCCCTTTATTATAACCTGAAAAAAAAATTTTTTTCATAATTCCTATTTAAATAATTTTAAATGGCAACTGGGAAGAATCATCAATTATGGGTCCTGCAAGATACTAACCAAAATGAAATATACCAGGGTACATTTTACGGTAATCCTTCGGTAGATAACGATAAAGGAACGCCTAGCTTGAAGCCAACAACAGTCAACATGCAGAACCACTCTGCAGAGATTGGCAGTTTCTCCAAAAGTGTATGCTGGAACATCAGAGCATCAGATGTAGAGCTTTTGGTTACAAATGACCAATACAGTGCCTCGGACAATGTGGAAGGACAGTAAAAAAGAATCTACACAAATAAAACCTTCGGCGAATTAAACTTCTAAATACTAGCTGCAACTTTGCAAAATATGTGTTCGGTTCCTCAAATCGGAAGATGGTCTTCACATCTCTTGATGTACTAAATGGAACAGCACTGCCCGATTCCCGCTCAAAAAGATACTGCTGTACGGCACTGCTCTTGTTCCACCACGCAGCCTACTTCAACCAGATTGGATTGGATTGGATTGTGGCGGCTTCACCCTGGAACTTTCACTATACGAAATGCCGCCCTATTCCTTTCAAGTTTCACACTGAGATTTTATCATACGCCACAGCAACGCGTTCCAATCACACAGCCTAACTCGACCGAATCGAACGACACGCAGCCGACGTACCTGTGCACAAAGCCCATGCCGTGAATGGTGTCGACCGCCAGCACCACCTGGGCGCAGTAAAAGCGTGCCCAGTGCTCCGGCACGTCATAATTGCTCATCAGATTGACCAGGTCTCCGCCGGGCATGTAGTCCATGACCATATAGAGCCGGCGGTCGTCTTGGAAAGCGTGGTGGAGCTGCACTACCCACTGCGACCTCGCATGTGCCATGATGAAGCGTTCCTCCCAAAAAAAGGCAGAATCCGAGCGCTTCATCATCTCGAACTTGCTGAGCAGCTTCATGGCGTAGACGCGCCGCGTTGACTTGTGCCGCACCTGGGGACGAATGTGAGCCCATGAGACACCTCGGAAGACAACCGCTCGTCTGCGATTTTCAAGTTAGCAGGATGGTTACGCTCGTGGAGTGCAAGGCGACTGTCTCTTATTATCGTGTGTGGGCAGAGAACAATGACAAATAGCTGGGGTTCCGCCGGGCAGAGTTAGTACACTTGTAGTGGAGGCTGGAAAAACGTTGCGCTAAGGGAAAAGAAAGTGATGCTTCGATCTTCTTTAATTCAGTTAGCAACGAGTAACGGTATTCACTTCTTTAAGTGACGTGGGTGTGTCTGACCGGAGCATCTACCCAATAATGCACCTTCGTAGTCCTGCCTGCAAAGTACACTGTATGAAGAGGAGAAACGCACTCACCAGTTGCACCTCGCCGAAGGCCCCTCTACCGATCGTCTTGATCACTGTGAAGTCGTCAGGCTTCATGCGCCAAGAGGTGACGGAGGCAACGGCGCTTTCATCTGCACGCAAACAAGCAATGTGGAATGTGCCAACACGGGATGCTATAATCACTGTCAAGGAGACAACAGCAGGGAGGAGCTCCAGTTGTCCCACCTCGAAAGATGCACCGCCAACATTCTCATTCTCACAGTGACTATGCAAAACTGCATCACCTTGTCCGAAATATGTAGCCCATAGATTCTGTATCTATTTGAGTCGAACAGCAATCACGTGTCTGGGAGAGTGCAGCCAAAATGAACATGTTTGATTTTAAAAACAAAAAAAAACAACAAAAAAACAAGCAGTTGAGGGTCAGAAATTTCCCAAAACCTAAGAATGGTTAAAGGGAAGCTGAAGCGGTTTTGTATTTGAGGAAACACTTCAATCATCTTCATTTGACCTCCAAGATCTCGAATATTAAAATCATTTTTTGCTAAGCATGCACTTTCTAACAATTTTCGACAGAAAAAGACGTCACGACTGGTACCAGTGTGGGGGAATATACTTGGCAAGCTTGCAATTGCACGCTCGACCTTCAAGCAACATGCACTTGGCGGCTGAAAGACTCTTTCATGACGTCACGACTGGTCGGAGGCTTTTTGCGTTTTCTCACGTCTTGTTATGCTTTCGGGGAAAACTAACATGATATTCAGATTCAAGGGATAAAACTATGCTAGAATGAACCTCTATCTAGTTTTTGAAGGAAAGATTTCATCTTCCCTTCCAAAAGTTAAACAATTGCAGAAGTTTGCTCACATCTGTTGAGGAAGCAGTCGATGTTCTTAATCCGCCGGAGGGTTGGACTTTTGCAGTCCATGACAAGAGCTTGTACCGCATCCTATATAAAAAAAAAAAATAACACTATAGAGGAGCAACAGGTCGAACGACACAATGGGTCCTCCCAAAAACGTCTTTAAAGGGATGTTGACACCCCAAAAAAATTTTTCATTTTTGCCAGGGGCTTTATTATGGTGTCGGAGGACTACCCAATTAATATTCTGCAATAGAATAGCATATATCTTTAAAAATATCTTTAAAAAAGCCAAAAGGTGCAACTGCTTGAAACCGAAACCCGCGCACGGAGGTCGGAGAAGTGGAGAGGAGAGAGTGAGTGGCGGAAGTCACGTGTCTACACCCGACTGTGCACTTTTTTTTTTCTCCCTCTGCGTAGCAGACGACATGCGTGGCGGCGTAGCGGAAACTGTTTGCCGTGCGATTCTTTTGCAGTTATGTTTGTTCCGCTCGCTGTTCTGTACTCTAAGATTAGTTGTTTTGTAGATTGAGGAGTTGGAGATGAGTAGTGAGTGCCCGTGGTGAATTTCCATGATCGGCTCCGAAAAGAATACACTCAAGATGTTGCGTAAAGAGCTGGCTCATAGGTCCTGCGTCCGAAAAAAAAAAAGTGGCACTGTGCAACAGAGTTTCTGAAAGATCAACGGGATCGGGACCAATGGCTGGCTGCGATTCCTGTACAACATTTACGGGCACCTCGGAAAGCAGACGCTACCCGATTTATAGGCTCCCTATATTTTGCGGAAAGTGATTACATTGAGTTTGCAGGTGTCAAAAAGGAAATCCCATACCATTTAGTTCAGCGACGTTGCGTCCACAACATTTGTTTGTTATCTTTTTTTTTTTTTTTTCAGTGATAATTGTAAAAGAAAAAAAAAAAAAATGTTAACATCGCAAAATGTTTAAAAATGAGAAGGTACGCTTTCACTGGGGATCGAACCCGGCCCTACGGCGTGTGAAGTGGACATCTTTCCACTGAGCTACTTGGGGAACTCTCTTCAGTAATAATGCAGCTGGTAAACGAAGTTGGAAAGTTTGCTGCCGATTTTCCTTCAGCAAAAGCATTCCCGGGTCAAAGTCGGGAAGCACCACGCATTGGCGACATTCGCACCTAGTAAAGAAACCGTACGCGTGCATATTCAACTCGAAATAGACACGTCATGCTTGATGTTTGCGCGAGCAATGTCTTCAGCCACGAGAAGAGAGCGACGGCTCAGCGACGTCTTCATGCAAATCGGCTTGGTGGTCGGGCGTGTCGTACGGGATGAATACCAATTCTTTTGATCAGTCCCAAATTTCTCTTTTAAAGGCAGACGAAATTCGCCGGTACCGCGAACGACACTTCTGAAGTAGAGGTCCCACGCCCGTCGTCTGCTGCCTTCGCCGTCCCCGCGAATCCCACGATACGCGAAACGACGCACGCACAGAATGCTTCCGGTTCTCTGTCGAACTTCTTTTTTTTTTATCAACGTATTTGCAGCTTTTTAGAAGCCACAAAAAATGGGTTTCATATCTTTTTTTCTATATTTAATATAGAGTGTGTGCCTTAGTGACCAATGACTTTGATTAAATTTGGTGGTTGCATCGAAACTTTAGAAAATGGCTTGTGGCCACGGAAAAGAGAGTGAGCGAGACTCAAACCGGCCAGTTCTTGATCGGCGGTTCTCGGGCGGAAAGAAACCGAATTTCGAGCCGCAAATTGTTTTCTGGGTAAGTTGGGCTCTCATACGTCAGGTACAACTAAAAACCTCGGCGAGCATAAATACCTTGTCAGTGTCTCTTTAAAAGTTATAGCTGTCCCAGTAAAATTTAACGAGTCAACAAGTAGCGAAGGCAGATTTGGAGGAACAAGTCCTTTTCACCACTTAATCGACCAGAGTAGTGCTGTGCACGCAGACTTTATGACTATTTTGATAAATAACAATATATCATGTGTCAATGTAAGATATGACCCTAAAATATTTTATGCTATAATAAACATTTTATGGACTTGAAACGAGCTGCACAATTTATTTGAAGGCGACGGCAATATGCTTCTCATGGAATCACCGAGGCAGACCAATACTACCTAAAGGACAAGACATTCTTCATGAAGGTTATCCCTAGTGGATCCAAGCGGTGCCACCTAGGTTAATCATTGTCACCGCCAGCGTGTCCCGCAGCGTCTCGCAGCGAGCATGACGCTAGCAGGTGGCGAGACAGACGGGCGCATTTGCCGCTCTATGCGGGCCGAGGATCCACCGACAACGACGTCGTGCACAAAACTTGTCTTCTAGGCGTCATTAATCAGACGGGGTATGATTTCAGTGTGGCAGTCGAAACACCAAAAACATGCTCCGAATTCACTTTGAGCGTCGCACCCTTTCCAAGGTCGTCAATGAAGCTGTAAGGTATGTTTGACGTCACTACAATGATGGGCTGCATGCACACTCGTTACAAGTCTAGAAACGTCCGCCAAGGCGTTCAGCTGCGTGAATGCCGTTGCGATGTTGAAACGACGTACCAGGAGTCCGTCTACGTGGACCTCGGATGTGCGGTCCACCAGCTTCCGCTCCAGCTCTTTCAGCCTCCGGAGGCGATCCGCGTCCTGAACTTCTCCCATCTGTCGAAGTCAAGTGACAAGATCGGTTAGGTGGACCCCCCGTTCAATAGACCTGTTTCGAAATTTGGTCTTCTGGCAACTTTAATCACTATCGTCACCTCAGTGTATGGTACCTGTGCCAAACTAAGGGTGGCCTTCTTTAGGGTGATGAAACAAGAAGTTGAAGGTACTACTAAGCAGGGCGTGTACGAGGTTTGTATGTTCGAAGCTTCAGTACAACATGATGCACAAATAAAATGCAACAGCTACGTAAGCGATTGTGTTGGAGTGTGGTCCTATCTATTTCTTGACACAAGTTTGGTTCCAAAGCCTTTTGATGGTGGAAATTTAACTAAGGGGCTTATGGGTCGCAACTTCGAACTAGAGCACTCCTTAAGTTTGCACCGTCGAAACTGAAAGAAGTCAAGCAAGAATAATGCGGTGATCAAAGAACCAATTCTCATATGCCATCGACCTGCAAAAGTGACAGTGCACGACAAAATACAACTTCGTGACCGCCATTAGTTTGTCGAACATGAAACTTTCGACAAACCACCCCCAGCAGGATAAACAGGGACAAACGACTAAATCGGACTGCTGGTAAATCTTTGAAACACGGCAGTTTCGGATGCGACGGGGCAATGCAGGAAAAGCACAGCTCAGGCGCCTGCCTCACTTGTATAATAGGCTCATTCGATTTACCTGCACCTGCTGTACTGGTGCAGAAAAGTACTTCCAGTATGCGCATTGAGATAAGACTGGAGGTACACAGCTCTACACTTTTCTGCACCGGTGCAGGAAATGCAGGTAAATCGAATGAGCCTAATGATGTCTGGTACCCATCAGTGTAGGGATGGATGGAAGGATGGTACTGGCTAAATCCTTAGTATTGGGCAACATATAAAGTTTGCTTAAAATTCTGTCTCTTGCTAGATTGTCTAACCCACCAAACATTGCAATGCAATTCTCTAGACCCAGAAAAGTACAATACAAAATGAGAAAGCACCGATACTATGTTGTGCTGCACAGCCCCCCTACGTAATGTCCCTTTTTGGAGCCTTCAGATGCAAGTGCATAAACAAATGAACAAAGGAACCTAGGTACTGTCAGGAGTAATCAGGGCAAAGGAAGTACAAAAAAGAATTTAAGCAAGAAACATGTGACTAACGCTTGCTGCCGCTCTTAGCAAGCTTCACTGACATCTCGGATGAAATTGCTCGTGCAGATCAGCAATTTTAATGTGCATTTGTTGCACACCAGTTAGCGCAAACAGTGATTCAGGTCACACTTGCAAAGTTATTTCAATCCAATCGTGCCATTCTTTATAAATGTGTATACTGCAACACACGTCCCCGACATCACGCTGCTGCGGTGGAGCTGTTGTCGGCACAGCACAGGCGCTTCACATAAATCTAGTTTCCGCGCACGTGCACTGCCCACATCTGGTGTGGACAAATGCTGACTTGTGTGTAAGCAGTGCGTTGGTGTATAGAAAACAGTGAGAATCTGTAACGCAGAAGCCAGTGTTGCCAGCTGAGGTGTCAATACAGTCTAAACGAAAACAACTGCCGGAATGTGTGTTGCTTAACTTCCCTGTTAGTGCTCTCCGCTGCTGACAAGCTGGCTTAACAGTGGCCATATAAGTTCGTTTTTTTTTTTTTTTTGCCTACTGCTGCTACGGTTGGGATGAATAATGCACGACGTAGAACTGAGGAATGAAGTAACTAAACAAAAGAAGAAAAAACAAATGTACAGGTAAATGCACATAATGAAATTAGATGTTTTTATATCTCGCTACACTGTCCAGGTCCACGTTTCACCCCAGTCCCAGATATCACAAGGATGAACGACAGCATACTTTAACGAAACGCCGGTACACCCATGCTGCGACCGGCGAGGCTTGCACTACCAACCGTAGCCAATTATAAGCAGGAGAAGTCGGGAAAGGTTAAATTAAATGTTTTATTTCAAAGCTGAGCTCTCTCCCTCCCCCCCTCCCCCTTCTTTTTTATGGCCAGCAAAGACAGCCCTTATTAGCAGCAGGAACGAGAAAGACTACCAAACAAAAATAAATCGCGTATGTCAGAACAATTGCGTACGTCTCAATCTGAAACACATCGCGGATTCCAAAACGATTCATCACGCAGCTAGCGTCTGTAATAGTCTGTAGGGTGCCAGCGTTGTGTACGCGCTCGAAACCCCAAGGACCCCCCGCGCACACACACACACCCACACAACCGACGAGCTTCGGTAGCAGTTTGCCGCACGTGCGTACGCATTAATACAAAAATGCAAGACGCAAACAAAAAATGTTTTTGCGGTCTACGCCGCTTCCGCCGGTGCGATGAGGGGAGCTGGGGCGGGTGGTTGGAGGGGTTGGAAGTGGAGCTCTTCTAGAGAAACTGTCAATGATTCGCGACGGCAGCTGCCTCGTTACAAGAACAAACGATGAACTGAGCGGGCTTGGCGAACCGTAAAACGCCGCCAACTGCCCCCGCCGGAAACCGACGATGTCCGTACCCCGAGTTTAAAATACACAAATAAAAACACTCAAACGCGCCTTACAAAAACAAACTAACACGACGGAGGTTCCGACCCTGCTTCTAACCCAGTAGGAGCGAAAGTGGAACTAGGTATCAGGTGTTCTTAATCCTCTTTTACTACCTGCACCTCATCTCTGTGCGACCCGTGCGGTTGTAAAGTTGCTTTTAACCTTTTTTTCTTTTTTTTTTTCTTCTTTTTCGACCGACACCGAGCGACTTACCTCGGACGTGTTCCTTCCCGGCGGAAGGCGACGGGACTTGTCAGGATTCCCTTTCAAGTGGAAGTGCGGCGTAAAGACGCCCACAGTAAACTGGTCGAGTTTGAAACGCGCCCGCACACATCGGTAGTCCGTGTAACTTGCGAGCAACAAGACGACATGCCTTCACGGCTCGGGCATGGTGTTGCCGCCTACTTGAGTTCCGTCGCTGGGCTCGGCGGAACGGTGGGACGCCGGTTTTGGGGTTCCTTCCGGGCGAGTTTTAACACTGTCTGGCGGTAAAGACACCAACACCGACGACCAGGAAAGAACAGAGTAATTGCTCTTACCACAGAATTTAGAATCCCTATGCCGCATATGCCATATCTGCCCTATCGCGGTTGTCGCGGTCCAGCCCAGCCATAGAGTTATTACAATAAACGCTAGAGGCTCAGCTGGCGCTAGTGTCTACGGGACTTCCGGTTGCGAACTCAAGCAGACAGCATGCAGTCTACATTTCTAGCCACCCTGTGTATTCCTATGGGAAAACGCGCGTGAATTTTGTCTCTTCGCCGGAAAATAACCTGAATAACTTTTGTCATTTCGGTTGTACCGGATAGTATGTACCTTTATTGGTACTCTGAAAGTGTAATTGCTTTAGTTGCAGCATTTTTCTTTATCACTGAACGATGTTAAACTTCGCTCTATTTCAGGCCGAAACCTCTGTTTCAAGGAAGAGAAAGAGAGAAAACATCTTTATTGACCCTCAGTTCAGGGTGTCGAAGTGGTGTCCAGGAGGACGCCATTTAGAAGGGTGAGGATAGGTGGATCATGAGGGATTGGTGGCTTCTTTCGATGCCTTCAGCTTCTCTTCGATCGTTGTGATGTGGTGAAGAAGGGCGTCGAAGATGGCGGGCACGTGTTGATGGTTTGTGGGAGAGAGCCACTCTTTCCATATCGTGGGCCGAAGCCCGGGAGGGAGCTTGGAAAGTGTAGAGCGGATGGATGGTTGTGCATGGAGGCAGAGACTCGTTTGGGTAGCCAATGCAGAAGGGACACTTAGCTGTGCCCTGAGCGCCTTGGAAGAGATGATAACGTGTGGGCCTATGGTGGTGTGGGCAGGGATGGGCAGGGGAGCTATGTTGCGCTTTTTGCACTCCCAGGAGACTTGGAAGAAGGAAGTGACGTCAACGACTAGAGCAAACGCAGATTGGATGTTGACAGAAGAAAACAAATCAACGTCACTTCCTTCTCCCTAGTCTCCTGGGGTGCAAAAAGCGCAACATAGCCCCCCCAGTGCCCGGTTACTGCCATAGAAGTTCCATAGACACAATGGAGTCGATTTCCGGGCAAACTGGGCGCTCAGCAGCGCTTCCGTAGTCGGAGGCGCTCATTACTGCAACAAATCGAAGCCTCATTGCTCTATTAATCGATTGCGAAACTAAAATAAGCAGCGAGGATTATGTTTATAATATGAAGCGCCAACGTTTTAATAATTACTTTTGGCGCCGTCGAGCTATGGTGCCTGGAACGCGTCTCAGACTGGTGTGTTTACCGCGGCCAAAAAAGTGGTCCCTCGATTTCCGCCTGATGACGTCATAAAAGTGTCATGCTGTCGCCGGTCGCGAGCCTGGCGGCGTTCCAACAGTCGTGGTATATATGGCAGACGCCTGTTCTGCTGCAGGTCGCTTTCCACTGTGACAGTTCACGGAAGCTAGTACAGCCGGAAGTTGGGACGCCTGAAGCGACGCCGTGACGACAGCGCTGCTCGCGTCCGCTCGTGCTTTTCGCCAGCATTTCTACGGTCAACCGCCAGGATCGCGACAGGCAACAGCATGACACTCGCGTCATTTGTTGCCACAGTGGGCGCGTTCAGTAGCGCCTCCCTTGCCTCCGAACGGAGTGATTCGAGTCGGAGTCATCGGAGCGCCTACTGAACGGCAAAAAAACACGCGGCTCCAAACCTGCTTCTACGCAACTTCCGCTTCCTCCCCTGTGCCAGACGGTCTCCGAATAAACTGGAAGCAGACGATGGCGAGCACGATCGCTTTTATTTGACGATGATATTGAAGAAGTCTTTACAAGGTGGTTGAAGAAAAAGCGGGTGATTGTACAGATCAGCGCTGCTGTTCGAAGCGATACAACGCGATTGAGCCCTTCGCTTGGCGGTGCAAAGGCAGCTACTGTTATAAAAGCCGACAAAAATCGTCGTCAGCACACGCAAAATACAGAGCTCAGCGAATCTACCCCGCCGCTTGCGATACTTTTATACGGCCATAAGTTAGTTCTCCCTTCGTAACGAACTTCCTATAAAATCTATTCGAAGTTCGGCCGCGCTCGGCGATCAAGGTTCTGTCGGCCGAAGCGAGCTTCAGCCAACGTGCACCCCGATTTAGCTACGCAAACAAAACATTAATCGGTATCATGCTCTGCGTGAGTGTCCAACCGGCTTCCAAAGTCGCGTTCATACCCTGTTTTGCTCTGTTGAGCGCGGACAGGACTAACGTCAATATTACCGAGTTTCCGTGCAACGGCGATCAAGACACGGCGTCAAATGAGCGTTTGCGTTGTTTATTAGCATATTCAAACCAAACAAAATACGGTCCAATGCATTTTCCGAAAGAGCCTTACCTGAAAAAGATATTCGAACGCGTTATTCGTTCTTACCTTGAGCACTTTTCATTAACAAAAGCGAGCAAACCGCACACCCGCGACAGAACCGAAGCAGCTTATCCCGCCATATTGTTTGTTTTTTCCTCTTTTAGCGCCGGAAATCGTCACCAGTCAGGAAATTACGTCATTTTAGCTCCTTTTGGCGAATTCGCGTGGTGCGCGTGGTCATTTCCCGGCAAAATATTTTGCCATATCTCCGCCAAGGGCGTTCGCGTGGTCAAAGGCTGGCGAGTGCGCGCCGTTCGGGTGGCAGTTCTCAGGCGTGTGCTGGCAATTTACCGGCACAATTTTTGCCCGAGCTCCAAGAGGTCGGGCAGCTTGTCTGCCAGACTGTATCCGGTATCGTCATATCCGAATCGCGAAAGGGAACCAAACGAAACAATGGTCGCCGCAAGCGTGTTCTAGTAGAAAACGAAGCCATTGAGACAGACACCCCTCTGTGGTCCGAGAAAAGACAGCAAAAACAACGGAGATAAAGATAAAATATTTTAAAGGAAGCTTCCGCAAGATCAGTTTCCTATGGGACACAGCGTGTTATTACACCGCTCTAAAAAATGTATTGATAGTGCTGCAGCTCGACACTTGAACGCGCATTACTATTTTAGAGGGCTGGGTCAAATCAAAATGCCGACGATTCCAGCAAAAAGGTAATAACGAGAAAATGGAATATAAAATAGCGACGCTGGTGAGCCTTCTAGGATCCTTGAAAGATGGCAACAGTTCCTCGAGAATCTAAACAAAATATATTACAATTTGTTTACCCACATCTCAGAGTCCGAATATATGTTGCTGATGCCTAGAGCGTGCCTATTGTATCATAAAATAATCGTGGAAGAAGTTAACGAAGTTCACGAGCAACCCAGGCAGACGAAAACGCCAGTTGCAGGCGCTTTGTGTTCGGGTGGAGAGGGTCACGTGGTGCGCCGCTGGCGCGGTTTTCGTTGCCTGTGCCGCCGGTGTAGGACGCCGATCTCACTACCCCTCCGCTTCGACTACGGTAGTGGTTATGGCGTACGCCAAAATCAATACCGTAGTCGTTTCGGCGTACGCCATAGCCAATACCGTAGTTTTTTTTGCATACCCCCAACACACTATCCTTACGCCAAATGCAATACCTTGAATAACGTCAGTTGAGCAGGGATTGAGCTCCGCATTTCGCTAAAACTGGCGGAAGTAACTTTCTGCAGCAAAATACCCTGATTGTTTGTTGTTGTTTGTTTGTGCTGACCCAAGCAATTGAGATTGTACAACAGGAGGGGAGACACCTATGGGCGGCTTTCTTGGACATTGAAAAGGCCTATGATTCAATCTCCCACTCAAGGCTCTGGTGGGAACTGACACAGATTGGAGTGCCAGGTTCAGTGCTTGAGCTCCTCCAGGAGCTGTACAGGGACACAACGGTTGTGGTGGAATGGGAGGGCATGAACACTCAACCAATCCCAGTGACAAGAGGCTTGCGACAAGGATGCCCCCTTTCCCCTCTCCTGTTCATGTTATATATGTCTAGATGGGAGACAGAACTGGAGGAGTGTGGGAGAGGCCTCAACCTGTCTTACATGGAAAATGGGCAAATGGTGAGACAACATCTTCCAGGACTATTTTATGCGGATGATCTGGTGCTGACAGCGGGCACCTGTGAAGAGATGCAACAGCTGCTGGACATATGCACAAAACAAGGGGACAGACTGGGCCTAAAGTTCAGCTCCCGTAAGTGTAAAGTGCTGAAGTGGGGGCCTACAGAGAATGTAGAGGGGGCTTTGGACACACCGCTTGTACTGCAGGGGGAGACTGTGCAGTGTGTCACGGACTACAAGTACTTGGGTGTACACCTGTCCACGGGTAGGAACTACATCCAAGCACATGAATCGGCTGTCCGAGCAAAGGCCATGAGGGGAAAGGGAGTGCTGGCAGCAACGTCCATGTGGGCTTTCGACCGCTACGAGGTTGCTCGTAGCCTGTGGAAGATGGTGATGGTGCCCGGACTGACTTTTGCAAATCGGGTACTGTGCACGTCGTCTCAGACTCGGGAGTTCCTAGAGGTTAGACAGCGGGAGGCGGGACGGATGGCACTCGGGGCACACAGGGGGACTCCAAACGAAGGGGTGCAGGGGGACCTCGGATGGTCTGCTTTTGAGTCGAGGGAAGCGGTGGCTAAGCTGTCTTACGAGAGGCGTCTTTGCGGCCTCGGAGAGGAGCGATGGGCCAGGAGGGTGTTTAAGTACCTCGTGTACAGGAGTTTAAACACGCGCCTGACCAAACGGGTGGCCAGGCTCGCGGGGAAGTATGAGGTACCACCGACCCTGCTGGACGGCCGGCCGCTCCGAGAGGGAGTTGCGGACCTCAAGAAGCACGTGCGGCAGGTCGAGACGCGAAGGTGGACGGAGTCGGCCACACGAAAACCATCAATGACTGTGTATGCGGCCTCGAAGCGGGCGATCGAGCGGGAGCAGCTGTATGATGACTCCAGGGGCAGCGGCTTGCTTTTCGAGGCACGAACGGGGACCCTCAAGACCAGGCTGTGGAGATCGCGATATGACGCTGGGGCCCCAATCGCCTGCGTCGCCTGCGGAGCAGCAGAGGAGACAACCGAACATCTGGTGCTGCAGTGCAAGGCCCTCAGCCCGTGCCCCCAGGTGGACCATCTGCCGGACGCGCTGGGCTTCCGGACGGCGGAGCGGGGGGATGACGGCGAGGAACACGTCGAGACCACCAAGCGCCGACTAGAGCAGTGGTGGGAGATTTCCTGGCGGCTGTGGAAGAGGGAGAGGCGAGCTGGGCCGGACGTGCAAGCGCAAGCCGGACAACCGATGTTTTCCGCCCAAGTCGACCTGCCCCACACCGAGGACCCGACCGAAGCTCCACCACAACAAGAACTCGGCTAGACTTGGCTAGAAACCAGACTAAGCAAGCCTTTTTTTTCTTTTTGGCAGGCCATCGCCGGAACTTCCGGCGAGCGGCCACCCGTTACAAAGGGACGCCACTAAATCCAAATCCAAATCCAAATCCAAATTGTATGAGCAGCGGAGCGCGCGCGGCAGGCGTTGTTAATTTTGATTAGCGTTGATACGGCTGACGGCGCACAAAGCTAAAGGCCACAAGCAAGCTTGGAGTGATTCTGTGTCGATGTGATTTGACGTCGCTTCTTTCTGTTTCTTCAGTCATCGTGCAAATGCAGGTGCCCGACTCCCGAACGATTCGAAGGCAAGAGTGGTAGCCCGCCTATCCGCTGGTCTTTCAATCGCATGCACTGTCGTCATTTTGGGCACAGCGGAAGAAAATAAATAGCGTGCGATCGGCCTGTCTAGGTTTTGGCGACACCGTTTCAGGCTGTAGATGAGAAAATTAAGCCACTACAGTACGACTGCTAGCCTGGGGTCTGCGCCTCACAACAGATCGAAACGGGTAGGGGTGGGGATCCCTGGCAGCGGGACCTTTCGCCGTACGACCTGCGGTGCGCCAACACACTCGACCTCCGATACCCCCTTGGGTCACAGCGCTTGCTGAAAGAAGTTTGGATCGTTTTATGCAGATTTTGCAGTGCGTACGAGACGCACAACAGCTACGTACTATGTCCTAGATGCCCAAGCTGAGGCTCGCTACTTGTGCGCGGCTCTCGTGATCTGGGAAACAGTATGCTCGCCATGAAAACATTGCAGTGAGAAGTGCGGAAAAGTAATACTATAAAAGTATAGTATCTAAAACTGGCTTACATTGTCACTGAGCATATGGAAATAAAACTTATTAGGAATGCCGATCAGATGGGTGGGAATGTTATATAATGTGCTCAAGTTATGTGTGAAGTTGCATCGGCACAGGAATTCAAACTTGTTGGCCCCACCCCCGCTCCTAAATTCTTCCAATGTTACTGGCAGTTTTTTTTTTATTATTATTATTATTATTATTGTAATTTCAAAGGTCCTAACAGGGGCATTACATAAGGAGCGGGGGGGAGGGGGGGGGGGAGGAGGAGGAGGAGTACATGAAAAATACAAGATCAACATATGCACAGACAGGTGGCTGATACCTACAGGGCTGGTGAGTAATATAAACAGTGAGAACAAGTGTGTGTGAAATAAAACTGGTACGTATATACACTTGCTAAAAGAGTAATCGAAGCATTGCGGAACAAGACGGGGTTACCTATTGCCGGGCAGAACCAGGGTAATCACCGACTCACACCAAGCATACCGGAGCTTCCAGTCGGGCTCGGTGCCCTGAAAAGCGCTGCAGGTGCTCAAAAACAAAAGACCCCCAAAGGAGCCCATAGAATTTAAATGGGTACCTGCCCACTCCGTGGTAGAGGGCAACAAACTTGCTCACCAGCAGGCCTGCGCGCTGACTTACCGGGCCACAGCCATGGAAGAGGTGCAGGACCAACCCATGGTGACCTAAAAGGAAATACTAGTCGCACTCCACTGCAAGACCCTAGATGACGCGTTGCTGACACATGAGGAAGTTCTTGACCCAGGGATGAGCAGGCACAAAGAACTCTCAGTGAACCTGGATCTGAAAAAAGATGCAGCACTGCGTTTTTTGAAGGCTAGCCCTGTTCCATTTGCAATGTGTACCGCAGTGGAGGCAGAACTCCGGATGCTCCAAAGCTAAGGCATAATCGAGCCGACACAACACTGAACGCTGTTGAAAAACTGGCGGTAAATCTGATGCGGGCTGTAACAAATTTTGTGGTGAGCGTGCTTGGAGGCACTATTTTTTCAACAGTGGACCTCACTAATAATAACAATAATAATAATTTTTATTTGCACGAGAAAGTTTGCCCACTCAGCGGCATGCGAGGCTAGACAGAAAGGTTAATACCCTTACACATGTGCGCCTGCTAGGCCGCCGCTGAGTAGGTATAAACATAAACAAACTGTAGTCGTAAGTACAAGATAACACATATACACGTATGGAAACAATGAATAATCAGAGGGGAAGATAAGAAAACTCGCTGTGCCCCAACCCACCCCCCGCAGACCACGGCAGAGGCCCCAGCCAAAAGGCATTCAACTAGCTGTGTGTGACAGTGGAGACAGCAGATATGCTCACCATAAACACCATCAAAGGACGTCATAGAGTGAAAAGGATGCTCTTAAAAATTTCGGCTGCCGCGGCAATTTTTCAGCTCTGCAAGGAGACAGTCTTAGCAGGAAAACCCATCATGGAATTCTACCTGGGTAATGCTGTTGTGACGATCTGGATCGGTCATCAAGATAAATGGGCACCATGCTCAGGAAAGACATGTCAACGTCATCAACTACCATGCCAAAACTACTTCTTTTATTTTGATCATGAGCGCTCGCACGAGCCGCTTCAGAGCGATGTCTCTTGCAGCTCGTCACGTGCCAAGGGTTTTAAGTGTCGACCTGATATCACGCTGCCATGCAACGAACATCAAACAAATACTGCGTTGAGCAATATGCACATGATTAAATAATGATATACATACGACGTGATAAATGAGAAAAAAAAACTTGTAAAGTTTACAAAGTTCAGTCCCCAGGTAGAGGCTGCACAAATTTGACGACCGGCTTAAGTTTCTCCACATGCACTACATTGCGGCCAGTACCGTCCACGAGTTCAAGCTCGTAATTCACGGGAGAGAGCCGGCTCGCGATTTGGCGAGGGCCAGTAAATCATAGTGTTGCCTTGACTCTGATGAGTGGGCTCTCCTACAACACGAGCTAGTCCTTAAAAAGAACATACATGTGCCACTGTCAAAGTCGCTTTCTTGCTTTTCTTGAGCAAGCTTGATTTGTCAGGCGGTCAACTTCCGAGCTGCGTACCGCTGTCAAATGTGACACCAACGTTGGTGCTGAGGGTTGACAACTTTCCAAGGTTCTGAGACAGAAGTCCCCTGGCAAAAAAAGGCTTAATCAACGGAAAATGTGGTCAGTGTTCGCATTGCTGAGCTTAATTGTCTTGATGCCCACTGCAGCACCAGAGGTGATGTAACAAACTACTAATGACACCTTCCAGGCGGTAGGGGCATCAGGTTTTCACTTTTCTCCGTCAACAATGCAACAGACTCAAAGTGCCGTTGCCATTCCAGAAATTCTTGGGTTAGCTCTTGCCGGCATCACGTGACAAAGTGGCCACGTCTCTTACAAATGAGACGGAGCGGACAAACTTCAGGGTATTGGGACGAAGAACATTGAAAGTCCCGCAAAGTTTTTGACACATGCCGAAGCGACGCATCTGCTTCTTTTGCTTCTCTGTTGCAGAAGGGTGCTGGTGACGATTGCTGTCGTCAGCATTCCGATGAGGCGGTGGCCGGCCCTGCTTCAAGAGCAGGACGGAGTGCGCTTTCTTTGTCCCTGCGCAGCTTGCACTCGCTCTGCAGCGAGAGCCAAAACCGGTGTCTTTGGTTGGCTGAAGACAACCTGGTCAAAGCAAAGGAAAGAGTCCAGCAACTCATTCAACGAGGCGAAGCGCCTGTCGAAGCATGCTTTCGTGCTTTGTGGAAGAGTGTGGCCAGGATAACCTTGCATTTCTCCACCTTCGTCTCTGGGTAGCTGCACTCGTAGATGAGCTCCAGTAAATGGAAGGCGGAGTCGGTGCAGGACTCTCCTGATTGCTGACTTGTGCTGAACATCTTTTGTTTTGCCTCAGCTTCGTTGTCCAGGTTGTAACGACGACGGAAAGCTTTCTTCATTTGCTCCTACATTGTTAGCTTGGCCGTCTTGAGGTGGTACATAATCTACATGGAGTCCTTAGATGGTAGCTTGGATACAATCAATGGGATGGCCTCACCTGGTGCAACTTTAAACGTCTGGAACCTAAAATCTATCTGGTGAAACCAGGCGATGATGTCCGTGCGCAGCCGAGAAACCGAGCTGACAGTCACGTTGCTCAGCGACTGCAGTGTCTGCGGCTGACTCAGCTTGAACAGGAACCCTCTTCCTAGGTGCTTTGGACCTATTTTTCTTTGCGGACTCTTGGAACAGTGTTTGTCAGAGTCCATGCTGCATGAAAACTTCGAGGACGAGGTTTTCGGCATCCTTGCCTCGAGCTGATCAAGACGATCCATGATGCTGACAGGTGCCAACAGGCAAATTCAGTGTTGCCTGTAGCTGCGTGTTGAAGAATCTGAACGCAGACATTTTGAGCAGACTGCCTTTCCTGCGGGCAAGGATGAGCCCAACCCTTCCACAGTTCTGCTCATGTTGCAAGCGTTGACAAGGGCGCTATAGTCTGTTGCAGGTCAAGAATAGCACGAGAGTGGAGAAGAGGAAACCACCTCTACTTGTCAGGATAGGTTGTTTGCCTCTCTCCAGTGTTCGCTCCGCCAATGTCGAGAGGGAGGGACAGAGACTTCTCTTGCTATTCTTGACCTGCAGGAGACTCTAATTATGTTCCAGAAGCTGGCAGAAAAGACCACATAGAATTTCACCCTTTCGCACGTGTCTGAAGCAGTTCAGAGTAGAAATGTCGGAGGCCCCAGAGAGGATATTTTTGACCTATTCAAGAGTTTTGTTACGCTGCTGCTGCCGCTATTCATTCTGAGAACTGCAGCCCCCGCACGCGCGATAACCCCGCTGTGGACCTGTGCGTGCAGTACACAAAACGACACCACCTGTCTTGTGCACGGCTGTCTGTCCCCTGTGAGCAGTTATGGCGTCACCAAGCATGTGCACAATAGCTGATGAGATCAGTGTGTTGGTGACATGATGTTGTTTAATGCAGGGATCATGTGTTGTGATACCAATGGATCCACGGTCTGGGTCGCTGACTCTGGTGCACTCCGTATACCTCAGAATCATCGCCATGAAAGCCTGTGCCAGAAGCTATATATCTAATGGCCAGGAATTGGGGAAAATATATCATATATGGGTGTAGGACAATATGGTCCCAGACAATATGGTCCCGGGCAAAATGGCCCCGACAATATGGTCCCAGACAAAATGGTCCCGGACAATATGATCCCGGACAATATGATCCCAAACAATATGGTCCCAAGTGCAAACCTGGACAAAATGGTCCCGAGTAAAATTTCCGACACATTTGA